ACCCACTGAAACAAAATAGGAGTGAGTGATCGGTAGAAAAAAAAAACAGATAAAAATGTGTAGGAGGATAGAAACCAGAAGAGCAAAGAATCAGACCAGTGAAACCCGAGCAAGCAACAAGATGGAGGAAAAACAATATCAGAAACCGGAGCAGCGAAAGGAGAGTTAGTACCGAAACCAGAGATAAAAAAAAGATGGGCAGCACGAGCAGCAAGCCCCAGGGCAAGGAAAGCAAAGGTGAAACGAATACTGAAATAGAAAATCGGAGCAGCACAACAAGGCGCTGCTGGATGGAATAAAACGAAAGCGATGGATGTGGATGGAGTAAAACGAAAGCTATTATTATAGAGCAGCATGAGGAAAAAAACAGGAAAAGACAAAAATTAAGTTAAAGCGAAAACTGACTGGAGCAAGCAAAGAAAAAATAGCACAACAAGGCAAAACAAAAGCTGAAGGAGGATATAGAGCAGCACGAGGAAAAAACAGGAAAAGGAAAAAGGAAAAAAATAAAGTTGGAGCAAAAACTGAAACAAAAACCAAAGCAAAAGAGCGAATACTGAAATAAAAAGAAAAACAATATTGGAGGATATTAATAGAAACCGGAGCAGCGCAAGGAGAGTTAGTACCGAAACCAGAGATAAAAAAAAAGGTGGGCAGCACGAGCAGCAAGCCCCAGGGCAAGGAAAGAAAAGGTGAAACGAATACTGAAATAGAAAATCGGAGCAGCACAACAAGGCGCTGCTGGATGGAGTAAAACAAAAGCGATGAATGTGGATGGAGTAAAACGAAAGCTATTGTTATAGAGCAGCATGAGGAAAAAAACAGGAACAGACAAAAATTAAGTTAAAGCGAAAACTGACTGGAGCAAGCAAAGAAAAAATAGCACAACAAGGCAAAACAAAAGCTGAAGGAGGATATAGAGCAGCACGAGGAAAAAACAGGAAAGGAAAAAAATAAAGTTGGAGCAAAAACTGAAACAAAAACCAAAGCAAAAGAGCGAATACTGAAATAAAAAGAAAAACAATATTGGAGGATATTAATAGAAACTGGAGCAGCGCAAGGAGAGTTAGTACCGAAACCAGAGATGAAAAAAAAGGTGGGCAGCACGAGCAGCAAGCCCCAGGGCAAGGAAAGAAAAGGTGAAACGAATACTGAAATAGAAAATCGGAGCAGCACAACAAGGCGCTGGATGGAGTAAAACGAAAGCGATGGATGTGGATGGAGTAAAACGAAAGCTATTATTATTATAGAGCAGCATGAGGAAAAAACAGGAAAGGACAAAAATAAAGTTAAAGCGAAAACTGACTGGAGCAAGCAAATAAAAAATAGCACAACAAGGCAAAACGAAAGCTGAAGGAGGATATAGAGCAGCACGAGGAAAAAACAGGAAAGGAAAAGAATAAAGTTGGAGCAAAAACCAAAGCAAAAGAGCGAATACTGAAATAAGAAGTAAAACAGAAAAGGAAAAAAATAAAGTTGGAGCAAAACGAAAAAGAGCGAATACTGAAATAAAAAGAAAAACAGGAATGGAAAAAAATAAAGTTGGAACAAAAGCTGAAACAAAAATCAAAGCAAAAGAGCGAATACTGAAATAAAAAAAACTGGAGCAAGCAAAGAAAAAAATAAATAAAGAAAGAAAAAAATAAAGTTGGAGCAAAAACTGAAACAAAAACCGAAGCAAAAGAGCGAATACTGAAATAAAAACTGGAGAAAGCAAAGATTAACAAAAAAGGTGATAAAAGCAGCACGGGCGAGCAGACAAGGAAAATAAGTTCGAGCGAATACTGAAATAGTAGAAACCGGAACAGCACATGCGGGCAAGGAAAAAGTATTAAAAATTATAGGAAACCAGCACGAGCAAGAAAGGAAAATAAACTTGCGCTATGATTTATTTATATTTATTTGGGTTTTCGTTTCTTCATAGTTTTATTTAGGTTTCGTTTCTTCATAGTTCAGAACGAGTTGTGTTTTCAATTCCCCGGTTGACGCTGATCAGTGATTTTTATCGTTTTTTGAACCTCCAGCTTTTTCTTAATATCCGGCCGGTTTCTGCAAACTTTCCTGCTCCTCGCTGGACTTTTTGCCCCCGCCCCTTCTTCTCTCTTTGTTTTGGTGTTGTTTCTATTTCCAGTCGTCGGCCTAATAATCTCTATCATTTATTTACTATTGTAGATAGCTTGCTGCTACATCTTTACCATCTTCTCCATTCATTTTTATATGCTGTTAAATTTCGCCGACTTTTCGTTGCGGCTGCCTTCCGCTAGCCGCCTGGTTACTATTTCAGTACTACCACTCCATCTTTATTTTCTATGCCTGCTTGCTTCTGCTGTTTTCCTGTCCGTCGTCTCCCTTTTTTCTTCGACTACCTGTCATGTTTGCTGGTCCTTCCCTACAACTCGGTCTGTTCCACATTGTCAGTACTATGACTGGAAAATAGTTCGTCAATTTCATCCTTTCTATCTCTTGTGCTAGCTAACTGATCGTCGTATCCAAGGTTGGGCAATTACTTCCCCGCGTGGGCCAGTTTCAGTTAAAAATAGACCTGGTTACTGGGCAGGTGGGGCAAAACTCAATATTTAGCTATTTACAAATATTATTTTTTTGTTTGCTTGTTTTTAGGACTGATTTTTCCTCTTAATATCTGTTTTTCTGCAAACTTTGTGGTTACAGAGGTAGCCATCGAAAACCAGGAGAAAGATTCGAGCCACCGAGAAGACAAGGTTAACAGGGAATGAATACTCACGTGATTAAAGTAAGCCAGGAAAAATTATATATGCACACATAAATATAGCCTATTCACAACACACACATACCGGTATATAAACTTTTATTTCATTTTGCATGATTTATAGCAGGGGTGGCCAGCACGTCGATCGCCACGTCTCGAGTAGTCGATCGCGTCTGATGTTGAGTAAATTTAATAGGATATTCCCAAAAATTGCCTTGAAACAAGTTTCATACAGCGCCTGTTGTGTGTTTTAAGACATGAAAAATGTAGTATTGTACATGCACAAAATACGATATACACATGCTTTAACTGGGTATGAACAAGCCCGATAGAACATATTATTATGTAACAAATGCAAGTTTCACTACTGCTAAGTTTCAGAAATGAACGTACTGAATAGCGAATACTATCTGTCTTGACTGGCAAACGATCCTACAACAATTTCTGCGCTGTGCGAAAGTTATCATCTCACTCCTAGAGTAATGGGATAAATTTTAATCGCAGCGGGAGCAGTGGCAAAGAATCGGATTTAAAGAAAATTGTAAATTAGATATATACTGAAGTTTGAAATGTAACATTTATGGTTTGAGAAAATTCATTATTCGCTGTTTGGATAATCTTTTTTTTGAGGAATTAAAAACACTCACGACTAAAAATTAGACATGATCTGAAGATCCTAGATCTGTATTGTATGATTTGAATGAATCTAAAATAAATGATGAAACGTTTACTTCGTTTACATAACATAATCAAATTGACAAATTGAATGGAACATAGAAATGTAAATTTTTGTGGCAATTTCATTGAGAATGCGACCGCAGAGCCGAGCTTATTGGCAGCGGTGGAATTTTTGTATGTATGTGTGCAGTTATCTGCGTATTCAGTATTTATTCATTTTTGTATTTCCGATCAGTCGATCGCAACCTATTTTGAAGATTTTAGTCGATCGCGGTCGAAAGCAGGTTGGCCACCCCTGATTTATAGAGATGATATTGTAATACCGGTATTCTATTACGAAATTTTGATACGCATGAGTGCGCGGTGGGGTAACATGCGTTTCACGTGCGGCGAATACTTTTTCTCAACTTTTGTTCAAACCTTTTTATTTGAATACTGTACCTATCTATGTTTGTGTACAATAATTATAATGTTTCAAAGTTTAATGAAGTAAGTCTGGCTCAAGCCGAAATGGTTCAAAAGTGAATTTATCGTGCACATTTATTAGTTCATTTTTTTTTATCATTCAAAATCTTCGTTATTCAACACCCAGTTATGTTATTGTATGTCGGTAGGCAGGTAATATTACCAAGAATAGAAGTGGGAGTACGGCATATCTGTATGTGCATAAGCAGGTGCTTGGATCAGATATGGAAGCTGGTGTGACAGTGCTCAACTTCATACAGAACACACATATTTTTATGAAGTTAAAAACCGAACGGATGGCCGATGAATCACAATTTTTTCACACAGCTCAGTAGGCTAGTTGAAATTTTAAGAAGCGCGCGAAGACTGCGACAAAATTTACAAATGGCATTTAATGTGACACTTTCTGTTTCGCTTGTACATCCAAACATCAGACGGCACAATGGATGAAGCCAAGATTAAAACATTTTTTTAATGGGCATCACAAATCCGAGTTCTCAGTTTGTTCTTTGTAATGATCATTTTTGAAAATATTTGTTTGCACGCATATATGTACTTTCAAACATTGATTTAAATTTATTCGCGTGGTTTGTCAAATTTGGATTTTTCAACAAAAATATCTAGCAGACCTCATAGTCTGCAATGTGGTAATTCCACATTTCATGTGGTGAAAGATCCTTTTGTTACTGTGTTATCAAACTTCTGAACTCAGAAAATGCTCGATTTGCAAAAACGGCATTCCCTTTTTGAAATAATATGTACCTGGTAGAAATAATAAGTACCTGGTAATCCGAACGAAACGTATGAATATGCGACGGACCAAAAGAGCTGATTAGAATCGGGATATACCAAAAACTCTGGTCTCGTGTAGTTTCGTACCTAACGTACTTCTAGTGGGCGTAGCATAACAATTTTTTGATATGTCAATCCTAACCCCCCCATCTGACTACGCCATCCAAAAATTACGTCACTACGACATCACAATCACGTCATAGAGCTTGCCAAATATACTTACGATCGCCCGAAATGGCATTGGCGCCGACGATGAAAAACTGACTGACGTTATCGATCTCTCTCCTATTGGAATCGTTGCAACGAAAAAAAGAGAAGTAACTGTTCGATTTCGGGTGCTCGTTTGCTTGTCTTGGATGGCAGTTCATATAGTTTGAAGGGCTCTATTACGTCACTGTGACGTCGTGAGGATGTAATTTTTAGATGTGGAAGTATGTTAGGTACAAAACTACATGAGATCCAAAAACTCTACCATAAATCGTCTGTAATAATCAATCAACTAACCATGATTGACACAGAATGCAGTAACGGGTTGTGATCATGTTCGTTTAGCCTGTTTTGTTTTCAACTCAATTCTAATAAGTTTTCTTTATTATAATTTTTTCATATTTTTCTGCTTTTCAGGTTCTTGTTCTATCAATAAATCTCATATAGCTGTATTTTGAAAATGGCGTTTTCTCTATCTAAAATTGTGAGCAGATTCTCAAGGAAATCGATTTCATTCGCTACAAATGACTCAAAAACCATTTGCGCACTTGCCGATAAAACTCATTTTGGAATTCGTCACGAGCCCAATCATGTACGTTCATTGGTCACAACAAGTTCTAGGATAAATGGAATTTTAGGTATCGATAACTTAGCTTCCAAAACTATCAAAAATGGGTACTCCAGCTTACACACAGAAGGTGACAGAAGATTTGCTGAACTGTTGCAAGATGAAATTTCAGAAGAGAAAAATCGGTCTGTTCCGTTGCCAAAAATGTCTGATGGATGGAAAGTTTCGTTCAAAGGAGCTGAAGGCTCTCTAACAAAATCTCATGAAGGAGATACAATTGAGGTTTCTTTCACTTTGAATGGGTCTGTTCCTCCTGTCAGCGACGAAGTAGAGGAAGAACCTAATATGGTTTCTTATCCAGATTTCAATATTAAAGTTACTAAATCTGGCAACCCAAAAACTGTAGAATTTGAGTGCTATTTCCCTGATGATGTCCAGTCTGAAATGGCTGATGAATCAATGAGTATGTTCTCTATTCGCAATGTTGTTATTTATGAAGGTGAAATCAGCGATGAAACATATATTATCGACACAGAAAATCTTGATGAAAATGTTTATAGTTATTTTCTCAGTTTCTTAGCAGATCGAAGTGTCGACCAACAATTTGCAGAAGAATTCATTGAGCTTGCCACAGCAGCTGAACAGCAGGAGTATATTAATTCACTGCAGAATTTGAGAGACTTTATATCAAACAAATAACTTTTGTAAAAAATGAAAAGTGCAGCAAAGACTTGGAGTTGCTCTTGCTATGTGTGTGTGAATATGGCCTAATCCTCCACCTACTTGAACAATTACATGAGGGATAAATAGTCACTTTCAATTGTGGTTTTCCTTATTTGAGCTTTTCCATAATTTGCCAGTCTTGAAGAAGTTTGTTTTTGATTTTTGGAGTATTGTTAGAAAATATTTGGGTACTCCTGTAGTATGTGAACCAAGATGGCTGACACCGGAATGTATAATGTGTACCAGGTTACGGTTAGGCGGTTTAGGTTAATTTCACTTGGCTAGTCCCCAAACTCGTAATAGAACATAAATAAGGGAAATTGGAATAATATTATGGCCTGACCTTAACCTGGTTCACATAATGCGTTCTGGTGTCCGCCATCTTGGTTTACATACTACGGGTGCGCCAATAATTGTGCTGCTGTTTTGTAGTTTGATATCATTTGAAATTATGTAACCTCAATAATGTACATTATTCTGTCAGACAACATATAGAGTGTCTCAAGACAAAAAAGACTATTATTAAAATCTTGAAAAAAAAGCTGTATTTTCTAAACAGCGTTTTCAGGTTTTGGCCTTTCAAGTTTTATGTCAATCAATTTACACTTACTTGTGATATTAAGGAAAAACGAATAATTCAACTACATTGACCGTTTCTTATGTATATTCCAGCTAATATGCTGCTACATGTGAGGATGGATGTCCAAGACAAATGAAAATATTTGAATACATGAAAATGAATCATTTCCTATAATTGATTTTTTGATTGAATCATCTAGAACAGTGATTCTTAAACAGTGGGGCGCGTCCCACAAGAGGGGCATAGACAACTGTTTGAGGGGGCGTGAAGCTAATTCAAAATCAAAATATTTGTTAGATTTGATTTTGCCTGCCTTATTTTGCATATTTGCATTTCCTATTTTGTCAGCCAAAAACGGCTGTACTAATAAAAATAGCAAATTTTGCTTGGTTTTGAATCTTTTCATTTATTACATTATTTTCAACATGTTTTTTGAACAAAACATACTTGCGCCTTACTAACTGTCAATAATTGTAGCTTATTGTTAGCTAGTTATTTCTGAGGTGGGGCGCGAGAGTTGACAAATTCTACAAAGGCAAGACCTGAAAAGTTTGAGAACCACTGGACTAAAATATTTGAATTTAAAAATTTGCCATCTTGAGCATTTGATATCTGTCTGTCTGACAAAAATAAACAAACTTCGGTGCTCCTGAAGTATGCGAACCAAAATGGCGTACATCGAAACGTAGCAAGGTTAGGGTTAGGCCATAATTTAATTCCAATTTCCCTTATTTTAGAGTTCGAAGACTAGCCAAGTGCCTCTCGTAGTATTTGTACCTAAAATTATGGCCTAACCCCAACCTAGTACACATATTACATTCCGATGTCCGCCATCTTGGTTCGCATACTTCAGGAGCCCCCAAACTTCTAATAATGTATTAGGAAATTAATGTCATTCAAAAAATGTTTAATTGAACCATTCTGTATTTATTTTTCAATGGTTTCTGTTCATCATTTTAGAACATATTCACTATTTCATATTCAATTGGGTCATCCCTGTGACATGACATCGCACAATGTTTTGCATTTCCTGTGATAATGATATTTGTATTTTTACACAATTATTTGTGCCAAGGACCATTTGCTTGAATTAACATTTTTATGAACATAACTTGAGTGACAGACTACACATATTCATTAAAACAGCGCAATTTTTACATTTCATTAAAAAACATTCTGAATCAGCTTTTTGTGAATCATCTTAACTAATGGGTGGAAAGAGTTAACGTATGTATTTATCTGGTATTATACTTGGATCTCAAGAACAAGAATCTCATCTTTACAAATCTCAACAAAAGTTATTTATGATTCTGTTCTAGGTCACCACTATGGAATTTATGTTATTGTTTTCTTGATGCATAAAGTCATATTTTTGGTTAAAAAAAAATTGGTAAATAAATTTTTGCACGAGACTGTACGTGATTTTCCATTCAAAACAGTAGTACCACTGAAATAATGAAGTGTGTACTACACTTCACTGAGTATCGGATAAGATAGTTTACATCCCACTTGCTGTAACAATTTATAATTTCTCCAAGTGTTAAAGACCCCTCGATTAAGAGCAAATATGCAGTTATGTCAATGTGCCCTCCTGCATCGGTCTTTTGGTTCTTGCTCAAGCGAGCCTTACAGAGTGCTATTAATATTAAAATGCAGAGATCTGGTCAGTTGGTTTGTTTGTCAAAGCATTATCATTCCAATTAGCCTCTTTGCTGCTCTCAACTTTTGTCATAATTTGTGCCACTTTGGTTCTTTTGTAAGTCGTTTAACAAGGCCATTTGTTTGTTTTAAATTAGATTCTTAATTAAGCCTAAAGAGCGTGCTTGTTCATGATAACATTGTCAAAGCTGCCCAGTTTTGGATGTCAATTCAACATTGTTTTGCTCGCAAGAAGAATCTTCGTAAGAGCTAAATCAGGTTTGCGAAATTTAACTGTTGTAGTTTGCCTATAATGAAAGTATTTGCTGGAAGTTTCTTGTTACCTAAAAGTATGTTTACACAAATGTGCACACAAAACCAAAAAAAATTAGCATCTCCATGGAGAGAATGTAGTGAAGTAGTCATGTGACAAGAGCATATTGCTATGTTTGCATTTGTGATTTGACATGCCAGGTTCGAGTGGAGCAGTGAGTGTTCAACTTAGAGTGGAAGGCGTGTTAATCGATTGAACCTCATTCAAGCATGAGTTAGGGACTTGCAATTGTTTCAGCTTGAATGACAAATTCCCAATTAGCGCAAGGCAGCAACTTGCTTTGATTGAGCCTGTACCCTTTTGTACACAATGCTCGAGTACACAGGGAAATTCTTTAATAGATAAAAAATTCCTAAAAGGCCAACTTAATTACAATTTGAAAGTCATTATCATACTACATTGAAAAAATTGGATAGTGGAAAAATCACTTTCTATAAAAATTCCAATGCACTTCAATTTCATCAAAAAAAATGTTATTTCCAGACATGGATGTGAAGGTGGAGAACCAAGACATTGATATTGAAGCATCATCTCAAAGTTTCAAAGAGATAACGGAGGGAAGAGCAAAGATTCTTTGTGAAAATTCAAATAATGTATTTTATAACAATGTTCAGGAGTTTAACAGAGATATCACGTAAGTCATATTTTACATACCTACCGTAATTGGTGTTCTCCAAACCTATGTGATGGATGAGGTTGCTTTTCACTGCACAATTTATCAATTCTCGGAACAATTTGTGACAAGCAGCAAACTTGTAGGTCCGATTCTATGGGAAGTCTTGACCTGTATTTTGTCATCCTATTGGTAAGAGCTGAAAATGCTGCGGGGCTCCCGAAGTATGCGAACCAAGATGGCGGACATCGGAATGTAATATGTGTACTAGGTTAGGGTTAGGCCATAATTTTAGGTATAAATACTACGGGAGGCTCTTGGCTAGTCTTCGAACTGATAATAGGACTAGAATAAGGAAAATTGGAAAAAAATTATCGCCTAACCCTAACCTGTTACCCATGTTACGTTTCGATGTCCGCCATCTTGGTTTGCATACTTCGGGAGCACCAATGCTGCTTTACACATGTAGGTCGTTGCCTTTTGTAATTGCCTTTTCTGACAGCAATGGAAATTCGTTAAGATTTCTAGAAACAGAATATGTACAAATAAACAAGCAATAAACTAATATTATTACAGGATTGCTGCAATAACAGAATTTGCAAAGGAAGAACTCAATAAGAAAGACATTGAAGGTAAACTGCTGCGAGGTATTTTATATTGTGATTTGGTGTAAAAAGTAGATGTTCATGATTGTAATTTTCATATTGCTTTGAATATAACTCCAGAAATGTGCATACCAATATGGAGGTAACTAATTTTGTTCGTCTACTTTACATCAAATTATGTAAAGGGACGGAAGTCTTTAGGCAGGGAGTATATTCACTTGGCTAACACGGAGAGTCCCCCAACTCGTAATGGAACCAAAATAAGAAAAATCGGAATAAAATTATGGCCTAACCTTAACCTGGAAGACACACACTATTTGAGTACCGTGACTTTGCTATGACGATTGCTCGTTATTCGAAGTATTTATATGGAAACACTTTATATGGCATCGGGTACAATTCATTTCACTTTTAGTCGGAATTTTGCTGTTAACGCAGTAGTCGTTTGATTATATATTCGAGCATAGCTCTCTTGTTTTAATAACATCCATGTATTCTTAGCTGTAGAATATCACAAAGATGCAAAAAATATTGTTCAACTCAACGATGAAAATGGAGGAAGGAGGAAAGTTTATCCTGGTGAAAAATGTGAGGTATGAAGCATTTATATTTGCGATTAAATAGTTCATGTTGTTTGATTTATTATCAGGTATTTAAAGTGCATTTCAATAATTATTATTTTTGAATGCAATGTGGAAAATCATTATGTTCCTGCAGCTATAAAAGCTTCTAATATGATCTGGTTACTTATTTGTTGTATGCGAAACTGTTAGTGGTGAAGTGTTGGAATTTAACTGACTAAATCATTCTTTATGAATATTTTTTTGGGAACATGAATATGTTGGGAACCTTGCATAATCAGTAATTTATTTTTCCATCAATGCTTAAGATACTTAATGTACTTAAATAACATACAGTGTAGAATAAAATAAGAATAGCATTCCAGGGTGTAGGGAGACGCCAAAATACTGGTTTTCGAGTAGAGACACTCTAGATGGGGTCTGAAACAGCATGAAAATAATTTAAAAAAAATAGGCTCCATGGTGAATTCAGAGACGCTCTTTCATGGGGGCTCCCGAAGTATGCGAACCAAGATGGCGGACATCAGAATGTAATATGTGTACTAGGTTAGGGTTAGGCCATAATTTTAGGTATAAATACTACGGTAGGCTCTTGGCTAGTCTTCGAACTGATAATAGGACTAAAATAAGGAAAATTGGAAAAAAATTATCGCCTAACCCTAACCTGTTACCCATGTTAAGTTCCGATGTCCGCCATCTTGGTTCGCATAATTCGGGAGCACCCTTTCATGTATGACAAGCGTCATCAATCAAGGTAACCATGGGAACTGGATGTATTGTTCAATGTGCTGTCATATTTTAATCCTTATTTTACAGGAAGGTATCAGAATACTGGAAGCCCTATCAGCAACTGGTCTACGATCTGTTCGACTTGCTAAAGAGGTGCCTGGAGTCAAAGAAATAATTGCAAATGATCTTTCGAAAAGCGCAGTTGAAGCAATTCAAAGAAATATTGAACACAATAAAGTACAAAATCTGGTAACAGCCAATGAAGATGACGCCAGGTAACAAATTTTCTTATACTACGTTCATTCATGCCTTTTTCTCTGAGCAAGGCATTTTACAAGCAGCTGTTGGCCAATCCAGTACAGTGGTTCTCCAACTTTCTAAGCCACGCCCAATTTTGGAATTTATCAAGCCTCGCGCCCCAGCTCAAAAATAACTAGCTAACAATAAGCTACAAATAACAGATAGTAAGGCGAAAGTATTTTTTGTTCAAAAAACTTGTTGATAATATGTTGATGGCTTTGTCCTATTTCCCGGGTGGACTTGTTAGCTGGAAAAGACGATACATAGATAAATTGGGAGAAATCTTTAAATATACTGCCCAAGCTCCAAGTATACTTCCCAAGAACATTCGGTGCTTATATCGAATTCAGATATATTTTGCCGAAAATGAAAAATATCAAAATATTAATTAAAAAAGAGAAGGACGATTTACTCATATTAGCCAATTATTGATAGAAAATTTGTATACATTCCAGCATTCTCATGTACAATCATAAAGCTGGAAGAAAGGCTGCTTTTGATGTCATAGATCTCGATCCTTATGGCACTGCTTCACCGTTCTTAGATGCTGCAGTACAGGCTGTGAGACCTCAAGGTAAGTGTTTAATAACAGTGTTTGATGAAGAGTAAATCTGCCTAAAGAACTGGTGCAGTTTGGATATAGGAAACTAGTTTTTCATTGACTAATAGCTAAGACTATCAGTTTAAATATATATTTTTTTAAAATATGATAATGGAATATTACTAACTGTTCCTGCTGGAAGTAAGTAATCAGGTTCTGGTCCAATTAAGACTAAGACGGCTTCCAGGACATTGTTTCAAATAATTTCATTTCAACCAGAAGATATGAATCTTTTCAATTTGTCTTGTAGCTGAGATGCTGCAAATTGAAATGCTTTTTTATCAATATATCAACTTGTTTTATATTCTCATTTTATTTTATTATTCTTTAAAATATGTACTCTGATAATTGTCAGTTTCGTAAGACCAGATAAAGATGCAATTGGCTTAAGTAAGCCACGTTTGAATCCAAATTTATCCTTCCAGTCTTTATCTGTTGATTTCAGGTCTTCTGTGCGTCACTTGCACTGACATGGCAGTGCTGGCTGGCAACACTCCTGAATCATGTTGGGCAAAATATAGATCAATGCCGCTGAAAACAAAAGCTTGTCATGAACAGGTATCAGTGGTCGCAGTAATATAACTAGGATTATTTTATTACATTGTATTCAAAACTTTACTGATTAGCCTTGTTCTTTCAACACAAACTACAACAAGATTTAGACATTCAAATTTTGTATGTCTTGTAGTATGCAAAACATTCTTTCGGGTTTTAGTCGTTATTGGCGGACAGAAAATCAATATGTACATGGGTTGGCCTCCTCATCATAGATGGCAAAATATAATAGTTTGCTATTCCAAATACATCCAAAATATCATATTGAGCAGGCTGTTTTCGCATTGTGTTTTGAAAAATCATTGTTTGGTATTGGTTTAGTAGCATGAAACATTCAATTTCTTTTACGTTAAGAGTACATGGCGTTCAAACCTAAGACTTCTTTTTAGGTTTCAAAACAATTAGGCCAAACGTTTTTACAACCCTTTTTCTCATTGCTATTCAATATTTTTGAAGGCTCTTCGTATTCTTCTTGGAGCCATAGAACAGCATGCAAATAGATATTCAAGATACATTGAACCATTACTTTCTGTGAGCGTTGATTTCTACATCAGAGTATTTGTCAAAGTTCATTTTGGACTAGCGAAAGTAAAGATGTCGGCAAGGTGGTGTGCTTACTCTCTAGTTATTTTCATTGCGTAACAGATATGTCTATATACAATAGTTTGATATCCTAGAATATAATTTTTCTTTGCAGTTGAAATAGCAGGTAATCTAAATATATAAAATATTCATTTACTGCCAGTTTTTCAAAAAACATACTTTTCATTTGATTTCTTAAAAAAAATTTCTTTTTAATATATCAATTATTGAACATCATTGTTATGTGACGTGCCTTTTCTTCTTCAAATATAATATAATTTTAAATAAACTTGTGTAATTTTTGGCTATCTTGATTTCTGGCTTTGTTGCATGGCATTAATAAGTACTTTTCTCCTACTACCCCCTCAAGGGTATTCCTGTAGTATGTGTACCAGGTTAGGGTCAGGCCATAATTTTATTCCAACTTTCCCCATTTTAGTTCTGTTATGAGTTCGGGGACTGTCTGTATTAGCCAAGTGAATATACCCCCTGCCCATAGGTTTCAGTCCCTTTACACAACTTGAAGTTAGTAGACGATCAAAAACAATTGGTACACACACTTCTGAAGCATTTGAAATCTGTCTTTGATGTTACCAATGCTCATAAATCCAATATATTTTTGTGTTCCAGAAAGCAAGCTTATGTAATAAGATGTGGAGGATGTTCAAGTTTCCATATGCAACCTGTTGGCGAAGTTATTAAAACTAAGAACGGGTTGGTTCATTATCGTTGCTTAGTATCCTATTATATATATATATTAGGTAGTTGACCCTTGGGTGCCAACTGAAGCCTTCCATATTCAATATCAAAGCATCAATTGAGAAGTAAATGCTGCTAATTTTGTGTGCATCAAGCTACAATTATTCACAACGAATGAATATTAATGAACTATATTGATATTTATGCATATTGATGAATAAGATGATAAAAATACATTTTATTTAGTTGGTAATGAACTGGGAAGTTATTAAATCATTGTTGTAGGACTTAGGGCAGGGTGGTCCAAGGTTGTCGGCTCCGGGGGCCACAAAATTATTTTTGAATTGTTCGCGGGCCACAATAGTGCCAAGAATAGGTGAACAGTGCAATACAAAATGAACACTTCTATTGTGCAAACACATTGATCAATATCTGTCATTTATCAAGCTAACCCATGTTAAAACCACCAAAAAAACTTACGAAAACATGCAAAAGTTTTTCTATATCTCCATATAGTGTAAGATTGCAAACTTAGAATTGAGACTGCCAAACAAATCATTCAACTTGACCTGTTGCTTCAGCTACCTATAACGAAAGTCAATTCAGTGACATCAGTGATGTAAAAATATGTCAAACGACTTCCTGGTTAATTTTATGACAAAACAACGCGAAATGCGTTTTCTTGATTTCTCTCCGAATGTCACGCGGGCCACATGTTTACCGCCACTGCACTTGATCTATTTCTGTTCTCAAAAATTTCCTTCAACAATTTAGTGCTTTTTATTGAATTAACATAAAACATTTAAAGTGGTATAGGGCTGGGGCGAAGCTTTGAATTAAATGCAGCCAGAGTATGGTGATCGAAAGTTTGATTTTATGTACAGTCAGTAAAATACTGTGCTGAGTTGCTTATGTTATAGCTAGGATGTATGTCAAACTTGATTGACACGATGAGTTATGCGAAGTACTTTATTATTTCATTTTAAATAGCCTTTTTATATTTCTATCATTTGCAGCGAGAAACATATACCTGGTCTGGGACCTCCTGTTGGAAGAAAATGTGAATTATGTGGACATAAGAATTCTGTAAGTTTTTCTGATGTTGTTAGATTTTGAAACTGTTTTGTGCAAATCAGTGGATGGTTATATTCTGCTGTTCTTCGATAAAAACTATATTTTTGGTAATCATAAATTTGTGATGTGCTGCATGTGTATGCTATATTTAACTTCCATTAGTTTAAAGGACATAAAACACATGTCCAAAGCAAGCAAATATTTAAAATCATATACATTTTGTCTTTTATATTCTTCATTTTAGGGATAATTGAAATTAATTTTATCAAAAAATTTCATTTTCAGAAATTAAAGACTCCCAGTTTGCCTCCAAAAGATTTTTGAAATACATCACATGATCAAACTTACTTATTTCGCAATTGAACATTAGTTACATTTATATCAACAATGCAATTATTCTTTTGTTCTAGGTGGGAGGGCCAATATGGGCAGCACCATTGTACAACACAGATTTCTTACATAAAGTCCGATCATCTGTGAAAGCGTTTCCTGAACGATTGAATACGTCGAGTAGAATAAATGGATTTTTAACTATGATGTTGGAAGTAAGAAAAATAATTAAAATACCTGCTAAAAATAAATTTCATTAAACATTCAAAATGAGTAGAAAAGATTTCTTGGTATCAACTGGGTCGAAAAAAAGTTGAAAAAACTTATTTTCAGGCTAGGACTTATTTTCGACTAAACACGGTAGTAGTTGTATGTCTGAGGGAGTCTGACATTGGTCCTATGAAACGTTCCAGAAATGAATTTGTGTTAGCGTGCAGTAAGAATCTTGATTCATTTAAGGACTTTAAGTTTGTTTGTGTATGATTATACCCCAAGGTTTTAGCAATCTAGGACACTGCACAAAAGTAACAAAATTTATGTTCTTTTGTGAATATGTTCAAAATGAACTTCTCAGCTTCGTAGACATGCATTGGGATTATCTCACAGATCGTTACAAGATATTGTGCTGTATTGAACTGCTAAAGTCCTTCCTTGTAAATAGCTACTTCTGATCAGTATGTAACGATGCGTGAACGATTTAGTATTAGATTGATAAATAAGAAAAACTTCATTTTTCACCACGAAATATTTTTGGGGCTCTTGTATCTGATCTGGGTACTCCCGCAGTGTGTATTCCAGGTTAGGGTATAATTTTATTTCAATTTTCCTTATTTTAGTTCTATTGCGACTTACGAGTTCGGGTCTGTCTGTAATAGCCTAGTGAATATACCCCCTGCCCTTTACACAACTTGATGTAAAGCAGGCGAACAACATTAGTTACCTCTGTATTGATACACATACTTCTGGAGCGCCCTGATTTGTCTGAATAGTATAACGAAAATGTACAAATACACTTACTATACTGTGGAATGGAATTTTTTAATTTTCATTAAATAATTTTGTTAACTTCTAAATAATCATTCCTTTTCTTATATTATCTAGGAATTACCTGATATTCCCCTTCATTATGTTTCTGATGAATTATCAAGCGTGATGAAATGTAGCTGCCCACCTGAAGTAATGTTAAGGTTAGTATTTAATGGACTGCAAATACGGAGTGCGTTGCTGGATTGTTGTTCTTATCAGGTAACAAAAATTAGTTAGCTTCTTCAGACACAAGATTTGACATATTAAAACAGAAATTAATGTTATCATCAAAATTATATTTTTTGCATATGAATATCTGTTGGTATTGGAAGTAGCATCGTGATCATTTTACAAAGTAAGCCATGACCAGATGAGAGCTTACAATAAAACTTATGTTTTGGCCAAATGAAAACTTATACTTTGGTCAAAATATTTTTAAGATTGTTACTTTATATTTCTCAGTCTATTTTCATTTCGGTAAACAAATTTTAATTCAGGTCAGCGATTATGAATGCTGGCTACAGAGTGTCTTCATTCCATGGAAGGAAGTCTTCAATTAAAACAGATGCACCTCCTAATGTTATATGGGATATTATGAAAGCATGGGTACGTTGATTTGAAAGTTGGCTTCTTATTTGGAAAAATAAATTCTCTCTTTTACCTCTTTGCAAATTTCAAAATAAAAATCTCTCCCCCAATTTTTTACTATGACCTATGACCTAAGGGCAGCAAAAAGGAGCAGTAAAGGTTAATGTAACGTTAATATTTCAAATTTAGTTCAAAGTTATCTTTGAAACATTTTTCTAATTCTGAGCGGAGATGAGCACTTCTCCAAAATACTATTAAATAATATAAAATATCAATGAAAACAGGTAGAGAAATTAACACAAATCATATTTACAGAGATAGTTTTTATTGCCAACTAAATGTTTATACCACTCTATCATTCGGCAATATTTTCCCTTTTTCAGTTTGAATCCTGTGATAATAATAAAAAGAAAAAGTTGAAGGAAGGCACTCCTGTACATGCGTTGGTCACCAGAACTTCAACGACAGAGAAAATAGATTTTACAAAACGAGACGATGCCATATCTGAGTCAAAAAAGAAAGGGGTCGTCAGGTTTCCTACATTGCCTGATTACTGGGGACCAAAAGCAAGGGCGAAAGAAGGGAGGTAACTTTGTCTACTACATCAATCCCCTTGTGTTCCACAGTTTAATAACCCTTATCTTCATTAAAATTTCGTGTTTTAGTGATGGAGAGATGGGACCTTCGGAATATTTGAGAGAAAAAAGTAAGAAATTTCAAGGAAAGAGGAAAAACAAAAATGAAGAGACGACAGAAAAGAAATTAAAAATGGATGATGGTATGTGTACAGTTTGCATCAATAGGATAGGATTTACATATTTCTTCCGGGGGAGAGGAAAGGCGATAAGGCAGCTTAATCATATGGTGAACCATGGCCTCTCGTCCAGTTACCTAACCATGTCGGGTATGGGGTTCGTCAGTTACTTGTTTTTTGGAAACGTGGTCTTAATGGTGGAGGAAGCCGTAACCAACCAGCGGTTATGTGAACCACCCTACGGAGGCGAGAAGTCCAGCAATCCTCTCGCACATAATTATCCAAGCATGGGATTCAAACCTGCGAACCCACGCAGAGTAATCAGAGGTGCGGTGGCGAGCGTATTTCTAGCGCCTAGCACGATAAGCCACACCGCCGCGCCTGCACAATGTCTGGTAAATACTCCCAAACCAGCAGGGGATCTCTGAGGGGGCTAAGTGCAAAACCGGTCTTACTTTTTACATTTCAAGAAAACTCCGTTTTTCCTAATTTAATTGCTTGATAAGGTTATTTCACAGGGTAATTTCACTTGGTTGAGCATGAATTGTTTGAATATAATGAGATTTGGAATCTACCAATCAAAATAACTCTATATATACCACTGGAATGATAAACAGGTGGCCATGGATGCTAAATGCCTCCAGTCAAATCACTCAAGCCTCCAACAGTGGTTCAAACTATTTTTATCGTAAATGTTTAACTATACATGGCTTGAAGAAAAAATTTTTATTTCATCTTACTTCAGGAATATATATCACCAAACATACTTGGAACGGTTATAGACATTTCGGACCTGGCGATCGGCCAAAGTGTCCAACAGTGTTGTTTTGTTTGAAACTTTTAAATTAGCCTTCGCTTTCATTAATTGTAAAAACGAAATACTTTAACAAAATAATAATAAAACAATGTAGTACTTACTGAATTTAGGCAAATATGCATTCACGGCGATCATGCCTTGTTGATAAACGTATCTGCCCAACTCAAGCCTGCATAGTTTTGGGACATCTGTGAGTCAAATTTCTGCATCTCCGTGGGGTGACCACCAACTATTGACTCAATTCAGTACAATTAACTATTGCTTGCATATATAGTCAAAGAAATAAACAATAAAGCCATGAACATGGAAGGCTGATTATATTACAGCTAGTAACAATTTTTGTCTGTGCGTCTTGGGCGACAATTTGCAGATTTTGGCAGGCGGTATTGCGCTGTCGTGGCGTGTAGTGATGCAAATTTTGGATGACGTTCCCAGGAATGACATATTCAAAACGTTTTGAGCCACGCCAACTAGGAGCAGTTGTGGTATTAAACTACACCAGACCCAAATTGAGCTTTTTGTTTTCAGAAGTCCAACCTGAGACAGTTGTAGAATGAACAGATGTTGTTTGACCTCGGGGAGTATGGAGACTCTGTATCCTAGATGCAAAGAATGGATTGAAGACCAAACACTGTCGAAGATGTGAGAAATCATGGGACAATCTGGCCCTCACGTTGCAATCTGGTTTCAATTAAAAGCATGTTGGGTCATGGTGTCTCTCGGACTGCTTGTTGCAGCAAATCAGTATATGTGTAGACCAGTTCACTAGTGCCAATATGCGACTTTCGGTACCAACAATTTTTCAACATTGGTTGCCTTTAACAGAGATTGTCTCTCGAATTGGCAACTAGAACGCTATATTTCTAAGCTATGCATTGGCAAGACGTGCTCATGAAATATTAAATGCTTCACTTTTTTAGTTATGTTTTTCTGGGGATTAAATGAAAATTCAAATATGGTAAAAAGAAATTTGTGCGTTTTACCCGAGGGTAGAGAAAATTTTTTCAGTACTGCACAAGTTTTGGGGAAGCGAGAATGTTTCATTTTGGAAAATCGCGAACAACTGAAGAAATAAGCTTTGTGCAATAGATTCGTAAGATTTGAGGCTTGCATAGTTCTCTGAAAAATTGTTATATTTTGAGTCTAGTTCCAGGTATGTCTTGGTATTGGTTTTAATTGAGTTTAGAAATAAATTTAAATTTGTGGACTATACCTTTATGAATATGGGTCAAGATGCATAGGTCGTAGGATGAATAGAAGCAATCCACAGGTCTTCATGGAATGACTTTACTTTGGGGTCAAATAATTCCAAATGTTCAGATTTATAAAACTTGTCTACCTAGTTTATAGTAAGTGTTGCACATGGGTTTCTGCTCCACTGAAAGGGTTGTGCCAGTCCTAATAACGATGGCATTGAAGATCTGGGTTCAGCAACCTAACTCAAGATCATTGTATGCTGGACTAGTGTTTTCCAACCTATGGGTCAGTCAATTTTGTACCAGAAAAGAACTACACGCCACCTAGTATTATTATCATATCATTCAGGCTTCCTACCTTGTCAATGATGTAATCTTTATAAAAATTTTAATCAAATCCATGATTCTTATGGGGAAATTTCAAAGAGTAGTTATAGGTAACCGCTATAAACTTTCTTTACCACAGAAATGTTAGCCTATGCTGAGTTATGGACACGATGCAAGTCAACATCAAGACACAAAATGGATAGATATTTTAATAAGAAGGTGGAAAAAGGCACAGAATAAGCAGCAATATAGATTGCATATAATAACACACAAACAGGTTCTCAAGTAGTAAAAAAACCTTCATATCGAAGCATATGGGAAAGTTGTTTGACACGTATAAGGTATTGAAACAAAAGCATTTGCATACACCGTAAAGCTAGACATCTTAGAACGGATATAGAATGATGAGATGGTATATCACCACATAACAATATTATTCAAAAATAAATAAATATTTTGGTGCTCTAGACCAGAGGTGGGCAACTTCTCTAGTCGGCGGGCCAGATGTGGGAAAATGAAGTTCTCGGCGGGCCGGATTATAACATGAATAAAATTCAATATCTTAATCACATATTTATTCGCTAATGCAAGAAAGAAAATTATAATTCGCGTTTAAAGTAAAGTTTAAACTACAAAAAAATAGAGACCAAAAAACACATAATGAATTCATCATAGTGTACTGATGTACAGTCAGCGGGCCAGTCAAAATCGGGTCCGGCCCGCGGGCCGTATGTTGCCCACCCCTGCTCTAGACGTTATGGAGGTCTGAGGAAACTAATTTTGTTCGCCAATTTTACATCAAGTCGTGTAAAGGGACGGAAACCTATTCACTTGGCTAACACAGACAGTCCCTGAACTCATAATAAAACTAAAGTAAGGAAAATCTGAATAAAATTATGGCCTAACCTATGGGCAGGGGTATGTTCACTTGGCTAACACAGACAGTTCCCGAACTCGTAATAGAACTAAAATTGGAATAAAATTATGGTACCAGGTACACATACTATGGGAGAATTATTCAGCCAATACATAGCTGGGAAGCAAGATTTTTTTTTCACCCAACAAGCCATAAGTGTTTTGTAACACATGAGTCAAATTTTCAGATGGCACACCGCCTTTTTCACCGCTCACCATTTTGCCAATCAAATTAAAATAAGTTTTCGAAATATTCCGCAATAAATTTTTCTCTATGATTAAACATTTATGCATTAGTTGCTCACAAGTTTTTTTTGAAAGTTCTTTTGATGTTTGGTAAGTTAACACAGATGCTGGGTACGGTAGGTCGTCATGGAAACAAGCAAAATTATCCAAGCGTAAACTTGATAACAAATCTGCATTAAAATTCAAATCATTTTTTTCTGTTTTATCATTAGAAACCAGAATTTTCAGCTTTGAAAAATATCTTACTTTTTCCCACAAATGGTAGTATACTTCCTCTACTATTTTAACAGATTCTGATCTCAAATAAGTATTTTGCTGCTCGCTCCATCTTAGCTTAGAGTTTCTACCAAGTGGCTGGTATTCGCTTTGATATTTTAAAATATTTATTGCATTAGTGGAAACTGCTATACACTTGTCCAATTCTGAATTTACCGCTTCTAATGTCCGCAGAGTTACAGTGCCATCGAGTGTTCTGTCACCTGCCGAGGACGCCATATTTTTAACAAAATTTGTTTCTTCCTTACATTCAGTTTCATGTAAGGCATCACACGCTTGATCGCGAAGTTTTTCATGAGTCGATAACAATTTTTTGACCTTGTGAGGTAGTTCAAGGTCATTAGCAAAGTCTCTGTATTTTAATTTGACCTTGGTAAAGTCTATTTCAACATTTTTCACGACTGGTGGATTATTATGCTCTGATAAGGGCGGAGAAATTTTTTTATCTTCTGTTTTAGAAATATTTTCATCATTTGTTGCTACCTGTGTAGTTTGCACCTTTATTTGCTTCAATAATTCCGAACTTTTTGAAATGGTTGTAGATTTATTCGAGTTTGGCTTAACTGTAGGTTTATTTTGTCCTTTTTGGTATCCAGCTGATCTGATTCTGCCTCTTGTGGGTTTTGTATAAAACGGAGGATTGGAAATTTTTGACGATGCTTTATTTGGCAAAATTTTAGAGTTTCTGCTTAAATTTGGCACGATTTTCGTTTTATTTGAGGTACTAGATAATCTTTCACTCTTTATTAAGCCTTTTTTGGGATCGGATTTTTGAGGTAGAGCACTATTCATTTTTTTTGTTTCATTTTCTTTAATTTTTTGCGTCTTCGTCGCAGGTTTTTCGTTGACTTTTTCATGCAATAATCTAGCCTTTTGTAATATGTCTTCTACGTTTTCAAGTTCTTTATCAAAGTTTGCAACTTTTGATATTTTTTCTTCGTTTTCTTTCCGTTGTTCAATTGATTGTTTGTAACCATCTTGTGCGGATTTAGGAGCAGAACTGAAAGGCCATGGTTGAGAAATCTCATCTGAAATAGAATATCTTGGTTAAACATCTGAAATTCATCAACATTTAACAAAAAATTACAATAGACAATTATTTGAGGGGGCGTGAAGCTAATAAAAAATAAAATTATTTGTTTAATCTGATCCTGCCCATCTTATTCTGGATATTTACATCTGTTTGAGTAAAACAATTTCTCGCCTTACTAACTGTTATTTGTAGCTAGTTATTTTTGAGGTGGGGCACGAGATTTGAGAAATTCTAAAAAGGGGGGGGGGCCCAAAAAGTTTGAGAACCACTGTGCTATAGAGATGCTATCGAACCACTCAATAAATATTCTGCGTGGGTTCTTAGTTCGCATCTTGTGAGAAGTCATTGTGTGTGGGGACATCGGACATGATAGTCGAGTGGTGGGAGTGTTAGACTTAGGTAACTATGATGACATAGTTCTGTTCAAATCTAAGGCTCATCACCTCACCCAAGGGGTAGGCAATGTTGAATCGGTAAAGTTCCAGTCATCCAAATGATAGCAGGCTGGTTCCGAGCGAGTCCTTTTGCCTAATTTAATACAGGGCTTTATTAACGCCTTGTATATTCAACATTACTTTGGTCAAGTATACCAGGGGTGCAACCTTTCATACAGGGGGTCAGATACAAATAAGTGGGTGAAACTGCATGCCGCACCATTATTTATTTTATAGGCTTTCTAGTAGTTGCAAGCATAAAAATTTTGGTTTGTGATCTTATGACATGTGTGTTCGCTTCGCTAGCTGTTAGAGCAGTGTAATCTCATACACATAGATAATAAATTGGACTCAGGGTATAGGATTTGCAACGCAAAGGGATTGACATTAATCGCATGCACCAGATAAACTATATATTAAAAACTCATTTGGCGGGACGCAGGTTGTACACCCCACCACTACACTCCCGTTCATGAATCTGAAACAATTAACTGGCTAATTAATGCCCCACCCAACATTGAACTGGATAGGAGGCTGTGGTACATCTTATGAATAAGCAGTCTTTTCTTTCCCCCTGGAAAGAAAATTTTCATCCCATCCTAATAAAGAACAAAAAACAATGTAACCTCACCTAAAACATATGCTTGGTATTCCGCACGTTCTTTGTATTCTTTTACTTTGTTATATAAATGTTCAATCCATTGTTGTAATTCATCCAGTTCCATCAATTATCAGATAACTAGTTATGTCTATGGAATATAAAAAATCAGCAGTACAGTACAGTTGAAAGAATTACAAGGAATAATGATTTAGTGTTTCCACAGAATTGATAACGAAACATTACGGGAACTTAGGTCGATGATAATATACAAAATAGTTTGTCTTAATCAAGTGGACACGGTCGAACTTGGTCCCCAACTTGGGAGCATAGTGGGTGAAGCATTAGACTTAACTAGATTGGCATTGCAGATTACAGACTTCTGGTTCATAAACTGGAAAAATTAACTGATTAAAATCGATAATCGATAATAAACAGATGTCATTATACAAGGTGACTCAACAAAAAAACAGAATCCACGTCATTTGAAGCATTCTAGAGAAAACATCTTTTGTCATCAATATCTCAGATTACTGAAACCTCTGGGTACAATGATACACAAATAAAATTTCAAGTGTTTTAATCAATGAATATTCTTCATTTTCGTAGATAAATAAGGTTCAGTTTTTGTGGCACTATGTAAATTACGATAAATCATAGTTTTGATTGTCTGAAGTTTTAAAATACACAATTTCAATAAAAGTCTGAAATTACATTGAACAAAATTATCTGATGCAATTCAAAATTTTTACCGTAATATTTCATTGAAAAATAATGACAGCTTAAATTTTTGGTATGAAGAAAATATTCACTGCACTGACCGATATACATTTATATTAATTCCATGTATCTGAAGAACACAAACATTGTTTAATTCATTTTGAATGTATCAAAATTTTGTATTTAAGGCGAACAATATCTGATTTTCCCAAATTTACTTGATTTGCCCAAAGATGTTTAAAAATCCTTGTAGACAAGTTCATGTATATTTGAATAGCAGGATTTTTCACTAATTTACGTGAGAATCAGAAAGTCTGCTGTTTTTTGCAGGCAGTGTCGAACCATGAAGATTCTCTCAAAATATAGTAGGTCTTGGCATAACAGTGGCCGCTTGTACGAAGCCTTGTTCAAAGTCGTATAAAAACGCCATAAAAAATACTCAAAACCTAGCTATGCAACGAAATTTTAACTGTTATAAGTTTTATGAAATAATGTTGAAATGCATGCCAATTTGATGCCCAAACTTTGATATTTAATGTAGATCATAGCCAAGAGAACAGATCAGTAATTCCCAACCTGGGGCCCACAGCTCCCCAAGAGGGCCACAGAGCAGTTAGTGGCGGGCCACGATGATAGGCGCAAAACTGATTTTCCTTTAAAAAATTCCCCGTTCTTCCTAGTCCCATTACTTGATAAGGTTATTTTGCAGGGTATTTTCTGAACATAATGGGATTTGAAATCCACCAATCAAAATAACACTATAAATATCACTGGAAGGATAAACAGAGGGGCCATGAGTGCTAAAACCATCCGTAAGGGGGCCACAAGACATAGGTTAGTAAGCACTAGTATAGATCAATCGTTTTTTTCTTTTGATTATAATGAAATTTGCTTAAAGCAACAACAGTCCCAGGACATTTATCTCTGAGCGAAGTTACATGGGGTCACTAGAGTGTGAAGAGCTGCTGTGACAATAACAAATTACAGCGCAAAACAGTTTATAAGTTCATGTAATTGTACTTCATCCCATGTTCATTCTATTACCATCCCCTCTTCTGTGAGTATCTTTCCAATCATCAAATTCTCTTTGCTTTTTCAACTTGTCGTCACTTTCATCATCCGATGAGTTTTCTCCATTTTGTTGCCCATTTGCCCCCGAACTTGGTCCTATGCCTTGATCTGGTAGAGTACCAGCGGCTACGTGGGACTCAAAATACTGTTCTACAGTCATAGAAGGTAAACTGGGGTATCCAGCCCCGAATACAGCAGCTTGTGCTTTGTCTCTTGTGAGAATGAAGTTTTGTGGCTTTTTATTGTTTCGTGAAGTCGATGGGGCAGGAACGGGAGGATTATTTTTATCCGGCATATTTTCCCAAAAACTTAAAATTTCCTTTTCTTGTGAAATATTTCCGATATTTTCAATAGAAATATCAATCCATTTTTCAATTACCGCTAACCAGTAATTACGTAAAGTTTCGTCATCAACATTGCTTGATTCTGAGTCATTTTCTGGCAACGATGATTTCAGATGTTTCAACCTTGATTCAAGCTCTTTGTTTCTTTTAAATTTCGCTATTTTTGCTTCTCGTTCAGCATTCATTGACGCTAAATCGCGAGGATTATTTTTAACAGTTTTTGAATCGTCTACATTTAAGCATCTTTCTATGTCTTTTATGGGGCCAATATTATAATCCTTACACCTATCAAGAAATTGGAAAATGAGTTTCTCAGCGGAAATTAATAAAGATTTTCTTTCTTCTCTGGCGGTTTGTACGAGAGATGTTAAAACGCCGCAAATAGAAGGTGAAAGTAAATACTTTAGATTTATTGATGATATTTCACCGACTTCTTCATTAGTGCTAAACAATCGAAGCTCATCAGTTCGACTTTGAACAATTTGTGATAATTTAATCCCTCGTTTTATTGAAATCTGATTCGCTTCTGAGTTTGTGGGATCGGAAGCGTTTTCAATGTCGGTGTGAATTTGAAAAGCCTCATAAAAAAGTTCTGAAAGTGACTTTTGTTCATCTGGATCAACAGACATTTTTGTTAATAATATTCACACCAATTTGATTTATCGTTCGGTAAAAGTTTTCCAGAAAGGAGTAAAATAATATCAACAAACCACCAAATACCAACACCACCTAGTGTCAAAAGTTTGGCAACTGCAGTTCCTGAATGTCCCAGGCAAAATCGATCAACCCCTAAACATCCAAGAAAAACCGAATAAAGTAATGTGCTTACAAAACAGTACCCCGTATATCTAATACAAGGAATTCCTGACTTTTTGAAAGTGCGATCACCAGCACAGTCGATTGTATTGTCAATCACGCGGCAGTAAACGCTAGTAGTTTTGACTTCTGGATATCTTTGTCTTCCAAAATCTTGAACCTCGCAGCCAACGTCGTCTTCTACGTCTGTTTTATTCTCTGGAAAAACCGAGGGCAAGTCGCACTCAATAAATTCGTCGGGGAGAAGATAGCACTGTATTAACGGCGAATATGGGTTTACCGGTTCTTCTGAAGAATTATTAGACAGGCAGAATGTCAAAGCGCTTATAAAGATAGTCAACAAGAACAACTTCCCAGAATTTAGCATTTTCCGATCAAGAACAAAATCGATGATGAAAACGCAAAACACCAGCGCCGTATTGCAAAATTCAACGAAAATTTGCGACACTCGACTTCCACCTAGCGTCTGGTAAATATTAGCATTTCATGAATAACTTGTCCGCAAGTTGTCGCTAGTAACACTTATGATAGTGCACGGAGTCAATGTGTTCAATACCTAGCATAAATTCTTTGTTGCTTATCTTTTCATAAATACCTTTAATACCCCAATAAAATAAGCAAATATTTCCTTACAAATTTTTGTTTTATAAATATAGTTTTTCTTTGTATGGATTAAATGAAAATTTGCATTTCAATGAAGAACATAAACTCACATCACAGCTGCAATGATTTATGACGTCACTAATCAGCTGATATCACTTATCAATGCGACATCATTTAACTTACGTTTACGTTTATCGAAACAGCAATGTAATAGGAGTATATTCAATATTGTAATATTTATAAATTTAATCCAAAAGCGAAGTACACTGAGACTCTTTCTTCACTGTAAACTTTCGGGAACTCCTCTTCACTCTGACGTCATATGAGTCAGAACAGAGAAAGAAAGAATTGACAGTCAAAGGCAAAGGCTCGTTTATGGGAAAATCATGAGGGATGTATCAACACTTTATTTTTTAATATTTATGATATTACTCGGAAAAAGTAAGTTTTTATTTTGTTTATTAGAAAAGTCAAATTTGTTTTCTCTTAATTTTGATGTAGGAAAGGGAAACTACAGACTGGCTATGGTCTGACAGACCAGTGCATTTGGGTCTCATGTAGTTTCGTACCTAACATACTTCTGGTGGGCGTAGCATGACAATTTTTTCACGTATCAATCCTAACCCCCACCTGACTACACCATCCTAAAATTACGTCACAGTGACATAGTAGAGCCCTTCAACCTATAGGAACTGCCACCCAAGACGCGCAAACGAGCACCCGAAATCAAACAGTCATTTCTCTCGTTTTCTCGTTGCAACGATTCCAATAGTAGAGAGATCGATAACATCAGTCAGTTCCTTATCGTCGGCGCCAGTGCCATTTTGGTCGATCGTGTGTATATTTGGCAAGCTCTATGACATGATTGTGATGTCGTAGTGACATAATTTTTGGATGGCGTAGTCAGATGGGGATTGGGATTGACATATCAAAAAACCATCTGTTGTGATTAAATATCTGTTGCGATAAGCTTGGCCCTGCTCTGGCTCCCTGTCTTGCTTCTAATTATGGCTATATCAAGATATCCTTATGAATTGGTGCTGTAGAGTCCCACATTGCATCTACTTTTGTTGCCAAATATTCCTACTGATTCATCAAGCTTCGAAGTTATGAGATTTAACTATGATGAACAATTACATGTTGCACTTAGACCCATACACCTGGAGCCAATTAACTGCTAGTTATTTAGTCATGTTATTGAAAATTTCTTTTTCACAATAAATAATAATAACTCTTGATATTTGTTTTTAATCCTTTCAATATCTTACTTTACAGAAGCTTTATCACAGTGGATTTCCGAACCATCACTTCCAAATTATCGTAAGTATGGCGCGCAATGTGGTTTAAGAACATGCAGTACATGATACAAATGTGCTGAATGCTCCATCAGGCTTTTAACTTGTTAATGTCTTGGTTATATGTTAAGTTCTACACTCAAGCTATTATTGAATAAGGGTTCAACTGAATATGCTTATATATCTTTATTACACCAGCATAACACACAACATAAGACGCATACATCAACAACAAACTATCGAGTGGCGCAACTTCGACACGTTAACACTAGACAGATAGCACAATCAATTACTGGGGACGTTATTCCACAAGGCATTATCAGTCATCATCAACATCCCTCTTTGTTTAAGATCAATTTCACAAATTAATTTCAAATCCGAAATATGAAATATTCACCTTTACCTATTACATAATTCATGACTATTACAATTAAGGCACATTAATAAGCAATAATATTTAACACTCAAATTCAAGTTAAAGTCACTACTAAGTCACATAGTGTTTCATCCAAATAGGAGGTTTTGAATTTTAGTTTTTGTTTGGGAATTTAAGGTTTAATCGATTTGGTTGATCGACCAAACATAGCTTTGATGGACTGCTGTTCAAGTCTTGACGAGACGTATTTCTTATTTCTAGAAGAGCTAGCGATTGATCTTCATTCGTGTTTGCAGTCCTTTTCAGCATATTCTTGAAAATTCATATTCACCAGCAATTTGGCACCTCATGCTAAGCGTTAAAAATTCGCCACAGCACCTCTGATTATCCTGCGTGGGTTCGCTGGTTCTAATCCCATGCGGGAATAGTTACCAGCGAGAGTATTGCTGGACTCCTCGCTGCTGTAGGGTGGTTCCTGTAACAGGACGAGGCGCCGTGGTTCACCATATGATTGAGCTGTTTCATCGGCTTCCCTCTTTCTCGGGATAAATGAATAAATCTTATTCTTCCTATTTCATGCACACAAACTAAGAATAATATATTTATTGACCTTTTTTTGTTACATCTTAAATCATTTAAAATCTTTCACAACGAATTTGATTATCTGCCAAATCTATACCGAGATAAATATTTACACACCGATCTTTATACAAATTCTTAATTTTCTATTTTTAGCTGTTTGTTCATCTACAAAGACATTAACAGATATAAGCGGGGAATATAATTTCAAGGATGATATTTACAGATCTAGAGATTTCTGTTTATATATAGTTAGTGAAGATCACTCTACATTATCTGTAAGGTGAGCAATTAGTGTAATTTATATCATCGCACGAGAATGAAAAAATGTTCTCTGGAAGATGTTTGAACAAAGCTTTTTCACTGCTGAGTACTGCTTTATGTAGATCATATGCTACTTCTGTGGTATGTGTGCTAGGTTAGGGTTAGGCCATAATTTTATTCCAATTTTCCTTATTTTAGTTCTATTACGTTTACGAGTTTGGGGACTGTCTGTGTTAGCCGAGTAAATATACCCCCTACTCATAGGTTTCATTCTTTTTTTTACAACTTGATGTAAAGTAGGCGAACAAAATTAGTTACCTCCATATTGGTACACACACTTATACCGACCATATATTGAAGTTGATATTTTGTTTCAGATTTCTGGATTTTAATTTTGGTTTCGAAGATGAGAATGGAAACTGCTCCAACTTTCTGGAGATTGGAACACCGAAAGGTACAAAGATCTTATTGTATGATAGATCTTAATAGAAGGGTCGTTGAAACAAATTATTACAAATGTTGTTAAGAGGAGAATATATTTATCATGAGGTCATTTTCTCATACGTTTTTGTTATGTGATGTGTCTTAACAAGTAGGTGTTTTGTCACATACGATTGGTTGATAGTCAATCAGTTTTGACGCAAACTCACAACTGATTTTTACCGACTTAATATATCAAAGCAGGTTGATATAAAGCAAGTGCTTACAAATGTATTTGTAAAACGTTCTATTAGTAACTAACTAACTAGTAATTTTTAGTTTTTGGTTCATTGTAAATTAAATGCAAAAAGAATAAAAAATTATTATCTAATTCTCAATTTAATAAATTATTATTCATGAGTACTGCTTGCAACATGAAAAAATCCAATATTGATTATTTTTGACTGTTTTATTATAAGACAACACAGACACCTGAATCTACTGGTAATTATCAAAACGAAGTTGTTTCTCTCATAATATATAGGGTGTTCTATCGTGTTCATAAAGTCTTGAAATTTTTTAAAAATGCAAAGTGAATTTATCGATACCATACATTTTTTTTTTCTCACAGATGCATTAAATGGAGTAAAAATAGTTACTGATTAAAAAACAATAAACCTGGTTGAGATATATTGAGAACTGACTTAATAACAAAATTGAAATTCTAAAGAAACTTCATTTATACCTCCAATAGTGAAATTCCTAAATCATAATTTAGTATATTTATCATTGAAAAAAATTCCAACAAATATTCCATCAACAGATTCTCCTCAACCTCAGCAGAAAAGATACTGCGGCTCAAAGTCACCTCCACCCTTTGTATCAAGCTCTGATATTGTATGGATTTGGGTTCACAGAGAATTCATGCTCAGACAGTCTAATATTGAACTGATATACGATGCAGGTAATTGTATAGATTGTTAGTGTTTTATCTATATTTATCTATCCCTGAATGAGAATAATTTTCTATACACTATAAAAGCTATACTCTTAACAAAAAAAATAGTTACGGAACTATACTTCTCGATCTTTCTAATTAGATCATTAGGTGTTGCCGCTCGATATCAAGCTTTGGTTAGCGACTTCCCTTCCCCAGTTAGAATTCATGATTATCTTTTTTCTTCGTATTTTGTGTAAAACTGACTTTTTTACTGCTGGAAAAAATGAGTCTGACTTGACTATAAGCAAACCAACAAAATGTTGTCTTTTCTACGTCTAGCTTGAATACTTTCACAATAGAGATGATTTTTTTTTTATGGCTGATTCTGATTATTTTTAAGTCTATCTTGGCCTAAATTTGAGTGTGTTTTTCTATATTGATATCAATTTTTTTTTCGATAACTTCTTAGTGATATTATTTTGAAACTAGACTCCTTATTTCTGAGTAGGTGTGCACTTGCTTTCAGAATACTAAAAAAAAAACATATTTGTGCGGTTCAAAATGCATGCAAAATTTTTATGAATATATTTCAATATCATCAAGGTTATTGTACAGTAGAGACAGATTTAGGATTGTACAATAATATTAAAAAATATATTTATGCGGCTCAAAATGCATGCGAAATTTTTATGATTATCATTATCACAATAGCAACGGGGGGGTTTTCTTGTACAATAGAGATAGATTTAGGATTGTGCAATAATATTCGATTATTTGATTCGATTCAAGAAAAATATTCAATTTGATTTGAATCAAAAAATAGTCGATTTGGACAGCCATAATTATCATGAATATCACACTGCTGGTTATCTTGCATGGGTTCGCATTTTCTCAGATACATGGGCTTGATGGTTCAAGTCTCAACTGACCAGCGGTTACGTAAGCCACCCTATAGTGATGAGGAGTCCAGAAGTCAGTTAGCACATAACTATCCTTAGTGAGATTTGAACTGCTAACCCATGCAGGGTAATCAAGGTGTAATTGCAAGCGTATTACTAACGATTGGCATGATTTACCACCACCGAGCTATAGTATTCTTATATGTTTTATTAGCTTTTCCAACTCGAAGTCTCATCCAGCCATATTTTATTCTATTTTTAACAGCACCAAGATGTAACGGAGACATTGTCATCAATTCCTACACGTTTTTAACGTCACCAAAATATCCAACCTCTGTATTTAATTGCGCCTGGACGATCTTAGTTCGTGAATCTGTGTCGGATCAACCACTCCAGATTCAGCTTACGAATTGGTTTATTCAAAACTCTGCAGCCAGTTTGGAAATCTATGACAGTAGAGGAGGAAAATTCTTGGCGAGGTAGGTGTCTGGTACTCCCGTAATATGTGAACCAAAATGGCGCACACTGGAACGTAGTATGTGTACCCGGTTAGGGTTGGGTCATAATTTCAGGTACAAATACTACGGAAGTCACTTGGCTAGTTCCCGAACTTGTAATAGAACTCGAATGAGGGAATTTGGAATAAAATTATGGCCTAACCCTAACTTAGCACACTTACTATGTTCTGGTGTCTGCCATCTTGGTTCACATGCGATGGGAGCACCGGTGTTCAAATGAGCTGATTCAGGGATATTGCTTAAAATAAGCAATAATAATAAAAACTTGTCCCTCTCAGATTCATAAAGTTGAATGGCGCTCCAGAAATATGTGTACCAATATGGAGGTAACTAATTTTGTTCGCCCACTTTACATCAAGTTGTTTAAAGGGACTGAAACCTATGGGCAGGGGGTATATTCACTTGGCTAACACAGACAGTCCCAGAACTCGTAATAGAACTAAATGAGGAAACTCGGAATAAAATTATGGCCTAACCCTAACCTGGTAATTACACTACGGGAATACAGATTCAGGGAGATTGCTCATAATAAGGATTTCCGACTAGCAGTCACTCTCAGATTTATAAAGTTGAATTATGCGTCATATCGTTTCTGCCTAAGAGAATTTGTTTGTTTTAAAACCATGATTGGTGATCATTTTCATCAAACAGATTTATTGACCACATATTGTTTTTATTGTTATCTTAACAGTTCTTGAATTGTTATACCCTGTATTACTTTCGAGCGCCACAACTCCAAAGCATACAAATAATAAAATCTATTCTTTTCAGCAATTAAATTTTTATAAATTTCAATTTATAATATTAATTTAAAATCTGAAAAAAATTTGTTTAAATAGAATGAAAATTAATCAAGCAATGTTTTTGAAAATTCGCTGAGAAATAGTTAGAAATTCCGAACATTTACCAAAGTAGAATTTACTATTGCTTAGTTGAGTGGTTCCAAACTCTTTAAGCTTAGTCAGGCGAAAGTATGTTTTATTAAAAATATTATTAACATATAAAAAATGGAAATAATAAAGAAATATAAATATTTAAAATAAGGCGGGTAAGATAAATTCAACAAATATTCCCATTTCTATTCAGCTAAAAAAATTGTCTATGGCCCCCTTGTGTATGTCTCGCCCCCCCCCCCCCCCCTCTTTGAGAACAACTGTCTCAGCTGAAAGTATTAAATTCACGAATCGGATATGTTTTATAGATTTGATGAAAGCACAAGCGCTGACAAAGCCACAAATGTTGTGATCACGACCACTGGTCCTCATGCTTATGTTTCATTCTACTCCGACACTTTGGGTATCGGTAAAGCTGATTTTAATGCAACAGTAAAGATCAAAGGTAAAATGAAGGATTTTTCATATTGAATTTATTTGTCAAAATGCCAACTTGCAGCAAAAGTGGGTCTTTAGTTTTGAATTAGCTTTGCATTTCATGTCGGCCCCTCAAAGGTAAAATGAAGTATTTTTTAAGAATTTGTCTGATTCGCCATGGGGGGAGCTGACTCTGATGACCGTATCCAGTCCATACCGAAAAACCCTACATGTCATTGTATATATTTTTATTGTTGCTATTGTTTCAGTATTTTTTTTTCTGGTTGACGAAAATAAATCTCTCTCTCTCTCTCTCTCTCGCCAGCATGGAGCAATGGCTTAGCAGGCCCAGCTACAGAATGCCATAAAAATAGATTTTTTATTACAGCATTTCCCAACAAAAACAGAACTCCTCCCTAATCAGGAAATTTGGTGTTTTAAGGAAGGAAATACAGAAATATGAAAGCTAGGGCACCTTACTTGTTAATATCAGATATTTATTTCAACTGTGAGGCACCTTCGCACTCATATTTCCTTTAGAGTGAACACTGATTGGCACTCAAGGACTTTTGCACCAACGTACATTTGAATCCACGGAATTTGCACTCATGGACGTTTTCTCCCACATGTTTAGTGTAGTTCCATTAATATTGTTTAGTTATTTAGTGTTATTGTAATAAATAACTGTGCACATATGAACTTAAAGGTTTCAATAAGTTAAATGATCATTAATCATTTATTTTGATTTTGATCACCATTATGAAATTTAACCTTAGTGAATTCGTGAGTTCTGCTGATTAGGACCAGATGTTCATTTTTGTCAAAAAATTACCGGATGTTGGGTTTGAACCACACAAACAATCGCCTATTAAAACTTAAAGTCCAACGCTCTAACCTTTATTTTTTCTAGGATACTGTACCCCAGGAACTCTACCCTGTGGTGACGGAATGAACTGTTATTCACATGAACAAATTTGCAACAGTCAGCAGGATTGCTCAACTGGTTATGATGAACTGGGTTGTGGTGAGATTTGGGATTTCGATAAATTTTTTGAGGGGACGTAAAGCTAATTAAAAATATAAGTATTTGTTAGATTTGATCTTGCCCCTCTTATTTTGGATAATGACATATTTTTATTATGGATATTTACGCTCCGTCCACATGTTTTCAACATGTTTTTTGAATACTTACGCCTTACTATCTGGTATTTGTAGCTTATTGTTAGCTAGTTATTTTTATTTAGATGGTGCGCGAGGCAAGTTCTAAAAAGGGGCTCTGCTGATAAAGTTTGAACCACTAACCTAGTAGATTTAAATGGAAGCTAATATAATTTGGTGCTATGTTGGTTCTGCCTCTTAATTTATGTCAATTTTTGAATGAAATAATTTTTTTGCAAATTCATCGTTCTACGAGTTAAATTTGAATTTCCCAGCAAAAATATTTGTCTCACTCAAAATGAACTTTTTAAAAGTTTTCCCTTCTGAGTTGAAGCTTTCAATTATACCTGTTAGCCCAGTATAAACGTAAACATCACCGAAGTAACCCCCTACACACCAATTGGAATCAGCCTCCAAGCACAGAGTGCATATGGCTACTTCACGTTCACAGCTGGTTGGTCATGATCAGTCATCTGTGACTGATGACATCATAGGTCATGCTCAGCTATCTAGGGAAATGCTAGTTGCCAGAAATACCAGAAAAATACAGTTAACAATACCTTATCTTGGAATGAAAAATTTTTCAAAAATATATTAAATTCATTTTAGGGGACTGTAAAGCTACTCAGTTCTGGTGCGGTAGAGAAGATGGAAGTTGTTATAATCGCGATCAACGATGCAATGGTTTCAAAGATTGTCCGAGAAGTTTACAAGATGAGACCAACTGTAGTAAGATAGATTTACTCTTTGCTAGAATTTGTGATTTTTGAACAAAAAATAATATTATGAAAAAGCTCTGAGCAAACAGTGGGGAACTTTTTTATTCTACAGCGCTGGTGTTCAACCTTTCCAACATCACAACCTAAGAATATGCTCAAATATTAGGCAGAAATTATTGAGTGCTTTCAGAGTAGCATAATCAAATTACTGATACAAAACAATCATTTTTGCATAAGAAATGAGATGATGAAAGCGCTAATTCACGCCAGACAGATTTTTACTTTTCAAGAGGCAAAAAAATATAAGATGAAATCGAATCCCATAGAGTCCACAGAAAATTTTGAAATAAACTAAGTAATAGCCTCCTAGCGATTTACTCTTTGCTTTAATTTGTCATTTTTGCATAAGGAATAAGATGGCAAAAGCTCTGATTTGTGTCAAACGAGCAGGAAGTTATTTTACTCTATAGCACTGGTGTCCAACCTCACGATCTCAGAATAAGTCGAATACTAAACCGAAAGTGATGAGTGCTTTCAGAGCAGCGTAATCAAATTACTGATACGAAACAATCATTTTTGCATAAGAAATGAGATGATGAAAGCGCTAATTCACGCCAGACAGATTTATATTTTTCAGTTAATAAAGAGTCAAAACATGAGACGGGAAATGTCTCACTCATTAGCACTGGTGTCCATTTTTTTATTAAATCGAACCAATTTTTTTTTAAATAATTTTTTGTGAAATCTCACGATCCGAAAATATGCTAAAATACTAAACAGAAAGTAGTGAGTGCTTTTAGACTAGCGAAGTGAAATTACTGATACATAGCTAATATTTTACATGCCACTTATGTGGCACTTTTATGCATATGTTTAAAAAATGACTCATACTTTGTGACACAATGCTCTGTGGAGCTGCTACAGTTAGAGATTGGGCTTTTAAATAAACACGTTATTTGGACACCCATCTATCAGTAATCGTTTACTTGTAGTCGAGAGCTCTGATCTTGTTGTGAGAAAACTGCTCAACGAGTAACGTGCTAAAATATTATCCATCGAGAATTATTAAATAAATTCTATATAATGTAAGGATGAGAAAAAGAAATCTACTCACATTTCACTTTGTAATATTTTTCAATTATAGAAGGTATTTTTAATAACAAACCCTTATATTGGTAATCCCTCCATTTCTAGTGTACAGCTCGAGACCATCTTTAGGAAACCATTCAAAAAAAAAATAAAATAAAGAAAACCTGAAATATTTTTTTTTGGAAAACTATTCAATACCATACAAGTAATTTACATACAGTAACAATGGATTAAGTGAAGTAATTTAATCATGAAAAGCTGTTCAATAAAAATAAAACTATTTACTCCTCACTCTTTAAAATCTTGCGATTAAGTTGGATCAGATAATTAGAATTTCTTCTTTCTTAGTATTCCTTCATTAATAACAATATCACATTCATGTTTTTCTTTTTATTCATTCTTAGGAATTTGTGGTCCAGGATCATTCCTATGCAAATCAGACAGTAAATGTATTTATGAGAGATGGAGATGCGATGGAGACTTTGATTGCAGTGATAAGTCGGACGAACAAGATTGTGATTGTAAGTTACTTTATGTTGTTTATCTCCAAACAAGGCAATAAACATGCAGCTACTGTTTGTAAGAAGCTGCTGTGAGATTTTAAAGCATAGATTCCATACGGAGCGCCAGAACAGAAATCTGAGGTTCCTCGAGCTGCTGTTTACTTTCACAAAGTACTGGGATTTAATCTCAAAATTCTTAAGTAAAGTTAAGTATTGAAAATTTGTAAAAAGAAAATTGCGAACTATGTAATAAACAAATTTTATATCCAATTAACCTATTCCAGGAATGGGCAACTTCTCTAGTCGGCGGGCCAGATGTGGGAAAATGAAGTCCTCGGTGGGCCGGATTATTACATGAACAGTATTCAATATCTTAATCACATATTTATTCGCTAATTCAAGAAAGAAAATTATAAATCACGTTTGAAGTAAAGTTTAAACTTTACAAAAAATAGAGACCAAAAAACACATAATGAATTTATCTAAATAATATACTAAAAGTGTAATAATGTAATATCAAAATGTATTGATGTACAGTCAGCGGGCCGTTCAAAATCTCGTCGCGGGCCGGACCCGACCCGCGGGCCGTATGTTGCCCACCCCTGACCTATTCGCATGTGTTTGTTTTGTTTAGCTCAGGATTCCCCAAACTATTTGGGCTGCAGACTGTTTGTGAATTTTAGTTTTGCGACGACACTAATTTAATGAGTGAGGTTGGTTTTGTTAAAGCGACTCCAAAGTATATTTAAAAAATGTCTTAATCAAACAGCAATATATGTACAAAGCAATAACCAAAGTAACACATACAGACATAAGCAACACCAACTGAGCTGTGTACCTGACTACTGAGTGCACATCACTTTCACAGGTGGTTGGTCATGATCAGTCACCTGCAACTGATGACATCAAATGTCATGCTCAACCATCTGGGAAAATACTAGTTGCCAGAAATACAGTTAACAGCTTTTCACTGAAGAATCTGGATCAGACTCTTTCCATATCGCTGTGAAGCCGCTACCCCCTGTGAAGTCGTCACAGAGCCCCAAAGGTTCCTGATCCTGATCATTATGTGAATCAAAATAATCTTATATATTTCAATTTTTTCAGATACTGCAAGTAGAAGAGTGATAACTGCAGCAGTTATTGGATCTCTTGTTTGTAGTTTGTTGCTCGTGATTGCTTTGGGTTGCACTTGTAAATTGTATTCACTCCGGGCTTCTCATCACAGATATTCTCATCATCAATACAGAGCAACTCCATTGACTAGAGTTGAAAGGGTAAGAAATTTCCCATATCATGAGTGGGTGCACCTGTAGTGTGTGTACCAGGTTAGGGTTAGGCCTTAATTTTATTGTGATTTTCTATATTTTAGGTCTATTACGAGTTCGGGGATCGTCTGTGCTAGCTAGGTGAATATCCCCCCTGCCCTAGGGTTTCAGTCCCTTTACGCAATTTGATGTAAAATAGGTGAACAAAATTAGTTACTTCCATATTGGTACACACACTTCTGGAGCGCCGGCAATTGTGTGTAACTTGTGGGCCAAAATATCTTCACAAAATTTAACAGAGGGACGTACTTTTTAATTAGCACTGTGATTTAGTATTCTAATTAATCTTGACTATCAGTTGAGGTTACTTTCCTTGCTCTATGTCTTTGTTTCATATTGTCTTTGCAAAAGTATTCGACAAAGTAAATTGTATTTTACCAGAAAAAAAAGTGACTCAAGTCGAATCAAATTCAGCTTTTCCAATGTAGTTGCTGAACAGTACCTTGTTCGGAGTGAAAGAAGTAAAACACTAAAATACCGGGAACAGTTGCCAGTTAATCCTATATCTTAATACAGGAATTATTCCAAAGACAAGCACCTCCTACCTATGATATGACAATAAGTGGCACCAGTACAGAATCAGCGTCAAGTACTCGATCTCAGAGACAAAGGAGAAGAAGAAATCGGAGATATCAGTTCCAACGTGCTGCTCCTGCTAATATAGGTCATCAGGTATGGGAAGGCTGTTTTACTGTTTCTTGGGAAAGATATATTCCAATCGTCGTGTCATGTTTGGGACTTTCAAATAAATGTAGCTGGAATAGATGTTTTTCCCCGATCTTTGACCCCTGGAAAGTTACTTTACGATTGTAAAATTTTTACTGTTACTTGGAAAGATGTATATTCAAATTATTATGTCTTGGAATTTTAAATGAATTCACTTGAAATATAGTTTGAAAAAATTGAAATTTTCAAGAATTTGGACGTTATAGAGAATTGCTTTTGTGAAGATTGTCACATACCATATTTTATTTGTATGTAATTGTTATATCGTCGGCATTTTTTTTTCTACAAAGTTGCTTTTTGTAAAATATATCCCTTTTTGTAGATAAACAAGTTTTCAATTTAAATCGAGAACTTCAATGTATCTTTTCTATGCTTTTGTCGCATTAGATTCTAAGATTTCAGAAAATATTCATACTTTCCGAATTCCCTTGTCTTGGCGAAATAAGATACTAGATGACTAGTGAAATTGCATTCACCCAAATTATTTGATTTGTATTTACTTTTTGACTTCTTGTTTTTTCAGTGCAATAACAGTAGCAGAGAGGAAAGCATAGAATCCAACAATCCAGCTCCACCAGAAGCTGAACCTAGTGTATCAGTACAACCAACTGTAACTTCAACATCTGCGAATCCTGTCACGAGCGAAGAACAAACCTCGTCGAACGCCGAACTTCGACAAAATTCCGCTTCTTTTGTCATCGAATCGATTCCTGATATACTCGCAGAAATGATTTTTGCACCCAGACAGGGTCGAGCGAACCCCGCCCATCGAAACGGGGTTTTGAATCCTGTCAGGACTTCTACCCCGATCCCAATCGAAACTAGAGAAAGTGGAACGCAAACAAGTTCGAACACTAATCCAGGGAATGGTGCTAATACTCCTAACACCACCGCCACAACACGGCAGACTCCTACCACATCATCTGGGATGAGGGTGGTACGAAGTACATCAAGGTCAAGAGGTGAGTGTTTGCACAAATTCTTATTTACACTCATTATCAGGGGTAAACTCACTTACGCGGAAAAATAAGATAACGTAACAAATTGTAAACGGCATAGAACGTTAAAATGAATTTGTTGATTCATATAAACAACATTTTAAATGAGAAACACAAAACTATTATAATAATTAAAATATTCAATCATATATTAGTTATGTTTAACACAATTTAGTTAATTTTCGGGGTGGACTTACCAAATCGTCGCCGCAGCGCTGTTAGAACCGCTACTATATGACTTTTCCAACCTCAAAAAAAAAAGTTAACAAAGCGAGCTAATTCAGTGCTTCCTAACTTATGGATTGCGACATCGAACTGGTTCGCCTAAAAAATTTCTTGTGTCTCTTGTTTTTTCAACAAAATCCCAAATGTTACTAATTTTATTTTCTACTTAATTTTATTATTTGTTTTATATTTGGTATTGGGATGTTGATCTGACAGTAATTGTATATGTAGGAAGTATCACAGCATAAAAAACGTTGCAGCATTTATTTTGCGGTCAGAAAAGTGTCTCATGCCATTTAACATTTGAGCGTAAGTAACCTTGAGTCAAAAAATGTTACCAAATTTATATTTAAAAATATTCAGGTCCTTGAAAAAAGGTTGAGATCCATTGATCTATGATGAACTTTTAAGATACATATATTCTTGATGTATCTTTATTTTCAGGTCGAAACAGAAGATCGAATTCAAAAGATCAGCAAGCCAAACCATTACCTAAGAAAAAGAGAATTTTACCTGTCATGGTGCAAGCACCCTGTCCTGATGCAGTTGTAGAGGAAGACACGTTAGCATGCGTTTACCCATGTCCGCCTTCATATTCCCAAGCTGTGGAATCCAATGACCCTAAAGTTGAAAGCTCGTCGGCAGAAACGCAAAATGAAGTTTCTCTGATTGGTAGTATTAATGAGGATGACGCAGGAGAAACAACAGATCAAGTTTTCAGTCCAGAAGAAGATTCACTCAAAACGACAAAATCGAGTTTTTTCCCGTTTTCGTTGGGGCAAGCTTTGCGAAATATTACATTTTCACGATTCAGTAAGAATCCGTACCTACAAATTGAAGCTGAGGATATTATTGTTGGATCTAATAGCAACGAAGCCGGTGAGTTTTTGTCAGTTTTCTTCTCTTTCATTTGACTAATATTGATGCTTTTCATCCAGTGATGATCTTTAGTCCATTTTCATCTAAAACAAAAAGCCCATTGCCCAAAACACTGTCCATTTTTGGCAATAATCACAAAGGCGTGTACCAATATGGAGGTAACTAATTTTGTTCGCCTACTTTACATCAAGTTGTGTAATGTGACTGAAACCCATGGGCAGGGACCAGGAGGTATATTCACTTGACTCAAACAGACAATCCCGAAGTCGTAAAAGAACTAAAATTGGAATAAAATTATAGCCTATCCCTAACCTGGTACACACACCACATCAGTACCAAGACCTGACCCTCTTTAACCTGCAATTTCTCTTTATGAAAACCACAACTATCTTGAATAAAAATCTAAGTGTATCCTTGATATGAGCACAGATATTTAGGTGTATTAGAATTCTTTTTAATTTTGCTTTCCACAGGTGTATCGGGAATCAACTCCAATGCTGGTGATGACAATTCCTCATCGCAGCGACAATTGAGGCCGAGTATAAGTTCCGACGAATCCATGCTCGATTGCACTTTCGATACCGACTCTCTGGGTCCGAATAACGAACTTCAAGACATGTCTTCTAAGAATATGACAACCCACACAAATTCCATGACATCGGGAAATAATATGAAAGTATTTCCGAAGAGAAAGAATAATGTTAACCCTTTCAATACAAATGAAGACTCATCCAGCTGCAATACATCGCTTGATATGTCCACATCCAGAGAGAACGCATGATATTGAGGGTTAAAATTCAAATTTTCCAGGGGCAAGTCATATTTTTATTCCAATTGCCTATTTTTCTTTTGCTTGATGAGGCGCATATGATTTTATACTAGGTATATCGACGGTGTGACACGAAAGTGGCAGCGCGCCGAACCCAGGCAAGTGCAAATCTGCATTTCATCTTTTAAAGACACTCTGAATTCTCTTTTTTTATTTCTGCTGTCTATATTAATTTCTCATTATTTTTTTCTGTATTTACAATGTGTCAGTATTGTTGTTTTTAACCCATGCATCATAAAATAGCAAAACATACTTAGTTGTTTCTGTAAAGGCATACTTAACAATGTGAATAGCGCTATCTTGATTAGTGAATATTCATTAACCAGTCGTGGAAGTGCGAGTTTAGGGATGTCGAAATATAATTTCCTGGAAGACCTTACCCAAGTTATTTTGAAGTTTTGTATACGAATCCTTGGTTAAAAATAGTTCAGCCCTGGCCTAGTGTTTAAAGCGTCAAACTATAATGGCATCACAACTTAAATTCTTGGGTTCAAATCACATTCCCATCGTCTCATCCACGTTCTAATTGATTGTGTCGATAATACAAAATTTTGGCCCTTCAAATCTAAAGTTTCTTACCCAGCGCTGGTGGCGTGGGCAGAACCTTTTTCAGAGCTAAAAGTATTTATTTCATCACGCTAGTTGTTTCACTGCTGTTGGATCAGTGCATTTGACGAATATTTTAATAATGAGCGAAAGTTTATACATTATTGTATTTTTTTATTCTTGGCCCAAACCTTCTGTAACTAGGTTTGTGTTTTTTGTGTGTGTGCTGATGAGGGGGCACATTTTTTTCACAGTTTGAACTTTTTTTTAGGATATTAGTCGCTCTCCAGAATTCTCTATTTTAGTTAAGAGTACCTATATTATGGAGTTTTCAAAATAAACTGTCTGTTTCAAATGTATCCGATGTTTTCTTTTTTTTTTATTCACTATTTTGTACTGTGTAAGCGCTTATTATTAATCTTTGTCTATTTCCCCCATGTTGTCAATAAAAACGGTGGAATTCACTCAAGTTATCGGTGCCCACAGGTTTATAATGGAGCTAAGAAAAGTTTAGGGCAGGGGTGTGCAACCTTTGATACAGGAGGGATTGATACCTATAATTGGGTGAAACTGCGGTCTGCAGCTTTATTCAACATAGGCTTTCTAGTAGTTGCGATCACATATATTTTGGTTATTGATCCTATATTAGCTGTTAGGGCATTGTAACGTCATAGACATAGATATAAATTGGACTAAGGTATAGGCTTGCAACGCAAAGGGATTGCTCGCATGAACCAGATTGACATAAATTAAAAACTTGTTTCGCGGAAAGCACTACATTCAAAATTGACACTTTTCCGCGGGTAGCACAGTTTTTCCTTATGGACTGCAGGTTGCACACTCCTGGTTTAGGGTATCACGGTGTATAGATCGACGACTTCCTCATTTACCGAAATAAGTGTGAGAAATATGCTCTCTGCAGTTCGTATAGTGCAACATTATACAGTACCTAGATTAAATATGCGAAAATAATATTCTATAAATTTAGGTAGTTGCTTTGGAGCGAATATGTATTGTAGAAGATCAACCTACTCTTTGAGTTGTAGCTTTCACAGTGCCCTAGTTCTGGACAAGACGTTGATGAACACCTATTACTTTTTGGGGCGGATTGTACAGAGCCGAGTGGATAGGGAAGGATTGGATTTAGATATTTATCCCGGAGGAGGAAAGCCGATAAGACGGCTTAACCATATGGCGAACCATGACCCCTCGTCTGGTTCTTAATTCAGAGCAAGCACATTGGGGAATACGTCATACTTCCGAGTATTTGCGCGCTCAGATCCTTTTTCGGATAGAACAAACGAGCCCTCTTTACTTTTCAATAGTTGCTGCTTATACGTAATTTGAAGAATCGCTTCGAAATAATATACAGGTGAATTCCCTAATTCTAAAATTAGCAGGGTGAATTATTGCCTTCCATCGTGATCTTGAGGCGATGCTGTTCTCGCATAAAAATTTGCGTTTGTATTCCTAAGTTCTGAGCTATTTCAAGGTTGCCGCTACCAAGTAGACCGATGTTTCTTCAAATTGAGTATCACGTGACAAATAGGAACCGAAACCACGAGGTAAGTTTGGTTACTAATATCACGAGCAAGTCATATGCTATGCAAATATTGCATTAACGTAAATAAACAAATATAAAAATATCTGTCTGGTGTACGTTGGTCAGAACACAAAGAGGATAGTACGGTGATAATTCTATATAAAGTAGATTTCGTGACCGACTGTGAGGTGAAACTTTATTCTTTGTTTATGGATTGACGTCTTATGTTACGACTATTTTTCACTTTTTCACAAAAAGAATAATTTAAAAATATTTTTAGAATTTTCCTTTATACCTGGTAAAGTTTACTGTTAACTACAAATCGTATGGTGGTTCGTGTTTACGAATTTCTCCGCCTTCATACATTTGGGACAACGGTGTAAATATTATTATACACGGGCAAAACTGGGAACCGGTTGAAAGGTTATATATGTACATAATATCATTGGACCGTCTTATCAACTTTCCTATCCTCGGTAAAAATTGGGATTCCGCCATTTTCTTTCGCTTTGCATTGGTATGATCTGTATGCATAAACATCAAGGGCATGTTAAAAATAATAAACGCCACTGTTCGAATTTCCAAACGTCTTGGTACATACTTAATGAACTATATTTCTATAATGTTTTGTATAAAAATCTTCATACAAACATACTAAGTAGGTACTAATAGATTTTTTGAATATTTTTACAGCAGGTATATCTAACAAATGGAAACTTTTTTTGTGAGTGCCCAGCATACCGCGACATACGAAATGGATTTGTACGCGTTGATGCAAAGATTTGTATATATGACCGGAGATGACATGCTTGTCAAATGAGAAACTATTTAACAATTGTACATGTTTTTTTTTCGCAATACGTAAATACAAGCTCGTACGTACATTTGAATAATATATAATAATTAAATTTGAATAATAAGTAAATGTAAAGAAATGTTGATTTCGATTTCCCGTTACAACAAAAAAATGAAGTAATACATGGCAAAACAAACAAATATACGGGAAATCAGGAAAGTGGGCGGAATCTAAAAAAGATTTTAGACGTGCTGATGCACGTGCCCACTTACCTCAAACAGCAAACAACAACACATTGAAGTAAATTTAAAAAATACACGAAAGATAATTCGGGCGTAAATACTTCTAAAACCACGATAATTATTTGATTTATTTTGTCTTTCTCGCTATATCGATGGCTTATGCATATGGTAACCTTTATCTATCAAATGAATATATTTCAACATATATATATGCTATACGTCTTATAAATGAGTTCTGAAAGTGAGTTTTCAAATTTATTGAATTAACGATGGATTTTCATTTGTATATATCCCATGCTGACAATAAAAGAAAACATAAAATTCGGCATTACGTAATATCAACTGCCCACCGCTTTGCATTGGTCGAAAATCTAATGACGTCAGAGTCCCACGCATTTGTTTCATTTACGCAAATTATGTTTCTTCTCATGGCGAAATACATTGTGATCTTAATGTTAAATGATTTAAATGTGACTCGAAGTTGAAATTACGCATGTACGTCTGCATTGTTTTTAAGTAATTCATTCTCAGTTGCGACCGCGATCTTTTGTACAAACACATCGTCGCTAATGCTAAAATGTGAGATTAGCGAAAAAAAGACCACGTTTTAGAATGAAAAATTAATAAATATCCAGTTAGAGTTAGTAATGATTTGAAAATTTAGAATTTTTATCGCAATGTGTATTCCAAACTCTAACTGGATCTTATTTTGAGAGTTGGCCGGGGTGTTATTGGCGGGGCTTCGAGCAAAAGATCCCTGCATTGTTTTCAAGTTATGCTTTCTCAGTTACGTCACAAAATACCGAGGTCGAGATCGAGAAAACCTTGTCTAATTTGTCAGATTTCTCGTTATTAACTTAGACGAAAACCCCATTGCGTGTTGATTAATATTTTAGCGAATGATGTTAATTAAGTTAGCAAATACCTAAAACTTGCAAAGGGGCTACAAAATATACTTAAATGACAAAGAGGCGTTGATTTATATATCTGATATATATATTATATATTTATATATTTGATTTAGTCAACAATCACGAATATTTATTCTTTCAATAAGAAAGGTTTAATGAATATATATTTTTGTATTCCCAGCATTTTTTGTTGTTTTCCCATATTGCATAACCTTTATTACGTTTTGTACATATATTGCTTTTTAACTGTGAGATGTTCTCGACATATGTTCTGGCCATATGAGGCCAAAAAGTATTTTGACTAATTGTAAAACGATCAATAAAGGTTTATTTTTTTTTTTTGCCGGTAGTATAATCGAGACTCAAGCTTGCTCATATTTTGTATTAAAAATGTACTTTAGCCATAGAAGCACTGTGTGCCGTTGATTATTTGTATATCCTTATTTTCAACAAATTTGGGTCGCTTGCCAAACGAGACTCTAGTAAATTTAGAAAGAATTTATAGCCCGTAGTTGAAATCTAATTGTTCCCAACAGTTGAAAGGTTGATGCGTGGTATTTGCGATATTGTTTCAATATTTTAAACTTATATTTCGTCTATACTTACCGTGTCCGTCGATGTACATACCACTGGCAATATGAGTATTTTATACGGGTTGTCCATAAAGTTCTTTTACAATTTCAATTTTGCTATGCAGTCAGTTCTCAATATATCTTAAACCAGGTTTGTATACGTCTGTTACAGCCTAATCAATATATGGTATCAATAAATTCCAACGGCAATTAAAAAAAAAATCGAAATTTTATTGATACTCCAAATTATCATAAGGTATCATGGTTTTATCGCAATTTTTTTTTTATAGAGTATGTAATCATTATTAATAGAAATTGATGCTCCTTCGCGGCCTTCCTTGATTGCTTGTTGAAGTTATCTCAGTCACTTGACGATCGGAACCTGACGTATGTCATGTCTCAAGACATTCCCCCAAAATTATTAGGAAAAACATAAGTTGGTTGTGGAAAATCAAATGCGCACGAGCAGTGAAATTACTCATACGTCGTACAAGACGAAAGATATAAAAAGCCAACGGCGTTCTCGATTTTGCTCAGTCTGTCTGGACATGGCACACGAACACAAGCGTTTACTTCCCAAGTGCGGTATCAGCATTAAAATTACATACTTTACAATATTGTTATTATACGTTTGTGTAAAGTTCTTTTCAGATCACCGTATTCGAATATTAGGAATTTCAAAAATTATGCCGCTCTCACATATTTCCGACTTGCTGCATGCGGCTCTTATACTAAAATAATTTGCTCCCTCCTGGTATATACGATATATATTTATATTTTATGCAAGATTGCGTTAGACGAACAGAAATAACAAATATCCAAAGCCCTTTTCCCTCTTTTCAATTTCCAAACATATTTTCAGTTTCATAACTTTGACCGCATGTACCTACATTCGGCGACAATTTGAGAATAGGCCGCGAGAAAACAAAAAAATGTTACTTGTAAATTTATTTACACTTTTAAAATAATAAAATTCTAATTTAACAACACTTTACAGTTATTTTTAATGTATTACATGTGTATTCATTTTATTGGGACACTCTGTATAAACACAACTTCGATAATATCTGTCACTTTTTTACAGTCGTAGAATACAGATGTCTTTCGTGTTTTAATGCGAGAAGCGAAAGTACGTGATGAATAACAGCGTAAAAGCCCCGGGCAAAATGTATTTCGTGTCAAATCTAACTGCAGAAACGCGTCTTCCACGCCCGGATCGTTGTTGATTCATTGTTGTTTCACACTCATGTCGGACCAAAGACTGTGTGAAAGACTTAGATGTATTCCAGACGGTTATGAAGGAATCAACGACCATAAACAGACGGAAATGGTCCTTAAGGTGAGTAATTTTTTTATTTTTATTGATGTTTAGAATCCCAGAAAGTGAGAATGTGCTTTAATTTAATTAGTCATCTTTATGGTTGTTTCCCCGATTATACATAAGAAATATAGAAAAATTCTCCCTATATTTTATTGTCGCAAATTTTCCGAGATTATTTTGAGACTAGGATAGGATAGGATTTACATATTTATCCCGGGGGAGAGGAAAGCCGAAAATACGGATTAATCATATGGCGAACCACGGCCTCTCGTCCGGTCACGAATCCAGGTCGGGTATGGGATTAGTTAGCCAGTTATTTGTTTTCGGAAGCATGGACGTGATGGTAGAGGAAGCCGTAACCGACCAGCGGTTACGTGAACCACCCTACGGCGGCCAGGAGTCCAGCAATCCTCTCGCACATGATCATTCCCGCATGGAATTCGAAACTGCGATCCCACGAAGTGTAATCAGAGATGCGGTGGCGAGCGTATTCCTAACGCTTAGCACGATGCGCCACACCGCCGGGCCTAGTTCGCGTTTGCACTGGTTGACTTGTTCAAACCATCATTTTGATTCCAAATTTCCAACCACCCGCTATTTATCGATCTATCTTGTTGATTAGCTAATGGTACTGACTACGGAAGTAAACAAGGAAGTCGTTGATTAGAGAAACATCGATCCCGAGTAGACGAGTTACCCTAGCAAATTTTTGCAAATATACGGACTTCAACGGTGGAGTATTTGTAACGGACAAGCGGTCCACGAGTCCCCGTGGTACGAATCGGGCCACATCAAATGTGCTCTAGGTCCAGGATTAAGAACGGCCGCTGTAGTCGTTACGGCTTCCTCGTTCCTCCACCATCAAGTCCATGCATCTGGAACAAATAACTGACTAAAACTAATCCCACACACGATCTGGACTGGTAATCGGACGAAAAGCCGAGGTACGCCATATCATTAAGTCAATTTTTGGCTTTTTTCCCCCCTAACAAATATTTTAAAATCATATCTTATAACAAGAGAGTGATGTTCAAATATATAGACCAAAACAAAGTATTTTCGCATCATACAAATCGGTATCAATTAATATCCGAGTTTTGTGTAGTGTCGCATCAAATCGGGCACAGTCGTCACGATTTGCGGATTAAAAACCGCGTTCTTATAAAAAATGAAAATATAGCAAAAATTTGAATAAAATATCTAATTGGATTTATAGAAAAAATAAGAATAAATAGAGGTAATAAGCTTCTAGCGTAAAATACAATAGAAAAAAGGACGATACAACATAGAACAAAGTCGTGACTCCGTTCACTACCACATTACATGCTTACTTGTTCGCCTTCGTTTTTGAGTTGAGAAATACAGTACAATATTACTGGACATCTGTCTGTTTGTTGTGGTCGTTATACTACAGTACCAGTCTATATGTACTAATTGACAGAATATTTCTACCGTCAGAAAGATAAAACTGAGAGTTGGGAAAGCAGTATTAGTAGACTACCGTACCGGTATCTTATGTTAGCTTTGTCAGGTTGCGTGCAGATGGAAATGTTTTAAATTAATGCTTTTGGACTTCTAGTGAGGCTTATTCCTCGGAATCACGAAAACGTAACGCCGTTTGCTTTATATGGTTTATATGTCTGTATGTAGCCTACTTGACTGTAATACCAGAATACCGGTACAGTAATATGACAGCAATTCTCATTTTCTGATTTCTGGATTTTATTGCAGTATTGTGAGTGGCTTCTCTTTTTTTTCACAATGTATATTCAGAATTACTTCAAAATTCTATCATATTCCTGTATTCAACTTGTTAATGTTGTCTCAAAAAAACTTGAAAAATGGGAAAAAAGAAAGGAAAGAAGACTGGAGTGGCGGAAGAAGAAAAATCAAATCTTGACACTTTAAGTAACGGAGACAAATTAGAAACTAACGGCACAAACGAAGAAGTTTCGACGAAAAAGGGAGGAAAGGCCAACAAGAAAAAAAAAGAAGATAATTGGGAAGATGATATCGCAAATGAAATTGCTGAATTATCGATTGAAAATCAGGGAGGAAAAGTAGAGAAAAAGGATGAAAATCAACAGCAAGAAGCAGGAAATGAAGAGCCAGAATTCTTTGATCCAGGCGATGATGAAAGAAGTAAAAAAAAGAAAAACAAAAAGAAACATAAAGAAGTTGTCGAGGAATCTATAGCACCGACACCTGATGTTACTGAAAACAATGAACCAGAATTTTACGACCCCAGTGACGATGAAAAAAGTAAAAAAAAGAAAAAGAAAAAACAGAAACAACAAGTTGATGAAACGCCCGAGCCAGCAGTAAAAGCAGCAAACGATAACGAACCTGAATTTTTTGAACCTAGTGACGATGATAAAAAACAGAAAAAAAAGAAAGAAAAAGTTGATGATTTGGATGAAACTGGAGAAAATGAAGAAACGTCAACTGTCAAAACGAAGGCACAAAAACAAGCAGAGAAAAAAGAACGAGAGAGAAAAAAGAAAGAGCGTCAGAAAGCCGAAAAAGCTAAACAAGAATCCAAAAACAAAGAACAATCTGAACAGGAAAAAACAGATGCTGCAACCGAAGGTGAAAAGGAAGAAAAATCTGCGTCTAAAAAGAAAGATAAAAAAGGAAAAAAAGCGAAGGGGGATGAAAAAGATGACAAAACACGGAAAAAGCCAAACAAGGCCATGATCAAGGCAATGCAGGAAAATCTGAATCGAATTAAATTAGAAGAAGAAAGACTGAAACTGGAAGAGGAAGAAAAACGAAGAATTGCGGAAGAAGCTGAACAGGAGCGGCTGAAAAAAATTGAAGAGGAACGACTCAGAAAAGAAAGAAAAAAGCAGAAAGACAAGGATAGAATAAAAAGGCTGAAAGCTGAAGGAAAATATCTAACACCGGCGCAGAAAGAAGCTCAACGAAGAAATGAAATTTATCTTGAAAGTTTACGCGCGCAAGGACTTCTTCCAAATCGCGATGCAACAGCTAAAAAACCTCAGTATGGTCGTATGAAGAAACAGAAAAAAGATCGACAAACTCCTTCACCAGAGCATGATAAAGAGGAAGAAGTTATTCAGGAAGAGGTCAAAGTTGATGAAAAGGTTGAAGTGGTCAAACAGGAAGAGGAAGTAAAGGAAGAGGATGATGTTATTGATGACTGGGAAGCAATAACAGATGAAGAGAAAGAAAATGAAAATGAAGCAGCGGTGAAAGATTCTAAGGGGGTGGAGACAAAGGATGAAGATGAGGGAGAATCATCTGAGGAAGAAGAGGAATCTAGTGAAGAAGAGGAATCTCCAGAATCCGAGTCAGAATCTGAAGATGATGATCTTTCACCAAGAGAACGAGCGGAAAGGCGAATCCAACTTCGTAAAGAACAAAACGAAAAGAATCGTTCATTAGATGATCTACGTTCGCCTGTCATTTGCGTCATGGGTCACGTCGATACAGGCAAAACGAAAATTTTAGATAAAATCAGACACAGTCATGTGCAAGATGGTGAAGCTGGCGGCATCACGCAACAAATCGGAGCAACTTTTGTACCGCTTGAAACAATTAAAGAACAAACATCTATGGTGAAGTCGTTTCAGGAATCTGAAGTTAAATTGCCTGGTTTACTTGTTATTGATACACCGGGCCACGAGTCGTTCAGTAATTTAAGATCGAGAGGTTCGTCGGTATGTGATATGGCTATTCTAGTTGTTGATATCATGCATGGTCTTGAACCACAGACTATCGAATCTATTACAATGTTAAAAAAGCGAAAGACACCATTCGTCGTGGCGTTGAATAAAGTTGATCGGTTATACGAATGGAAACCAGGTCCTACGTCGGATATCGTCAATACGCTCAAAAAACAAAAACGACATGTGAAAGAAGAATTTGATGAAAGACTTAAGGAAGTTATTGTCGATTTCGCAAAACAAAATTTAAACATCAAATTATTCCACGAAAATGATGACCCAAAGGAATGGATTTCGATGGTACCAACGTCAGCACATTCCGGCGACGGCATGGGTAATCTCATCGCTCTAGTTATGCAACTTTGTCAAACTATGCTTCCCAAACGACTCGCATTTTCCGAAGAGCTCCAGTGCACTGTGCTTGAGGTTAAAGCAATTCAAGGTCTTGGTACAACCATTGACGTTATTCTAACAAACGGTCGATTAAAATACGGCGACACGATCGTAATTGCTGGAGTCGAGGGGCCAATTGTGACTCACTTAAAAGGACTTCTGATGCCGCAGCCACTTAAAGAACTAAGAGTCAAAAATCCTTATGATAAATATGATGATTTGAAAGCAGCACAAGGGATTAAAATCCTCGCAAAAGATCTTGAAAAAGCTCTCGCTGGAACTCAACTTCTAGTAGCTCATAAAGAAGACGAAATAGATATTTTGAAATCCGAAGTACAAGCGGAAGTTGATAAAACACTTCAAAGTATAAAACTGCAAGAGCGTGGTGTTTTTGTTCAAGCGTCCACTCTGGGATCGTTAGAGGCATTGCTTTCATTTTTAAAGCAATCCAAGATTCCTTATGCTGGTATCAATATCGGCCCAGTGCATAAGAAAGATATAATGAAAGCGTCTGTTATGTTGGAACACGATTCTCAATGGGCTACTATTCTTGCCTTTGACGTTAAAGTTGAAAGAGAAGCGCAAGACATGGCTGATAATCTCGGAGTTAAAATCTTCACTGCTGATATCATTTATAACCTTTTTGATGCTTTTATGAAGCACAGAGAAGATTTGAAAAAGCAAAAACAAGAGGAGTTCCGGCACGTGGCAGTTTTCCCATGCAAAGTACGTATTTTACCAAATTGTGTTTTCAAATCACGTGACCCGATTGTTGTCGGCGTTGTTATAGACGCTGGACAACTCCGACAAAATACACCTTTGTGTATTCCTACTCGTGAATTTCTAACGGTTGGTTACGTAACCAGTATGGAATTCAACCATAAGTCCGTGGATATAGCAAGAGTGGGTCAAGAAGTTTGTATAAAAATTGAAGGCACTCCTGGTGAACCACCGAAAATGGTTGGCCGACATTTTGAAGAAACGGATATCCTTGTCAGTAAGATATCAAGGGACTCGATCAATGCTCTCAAAGATTGGTTCAGAGAAGAGATGCAAAAGCCAGACTGGCAATTAACTATTGAACTAAAGAAACTATTTGAAATTATATAAATTTGACACAGGAAGCAATACAGGAAGTGAACAGCATTTGGGATCAAAGGTCAAATTGGTGTTTTATGGACGGGAGAAGTGTGAAACCAACAATTTTTCTGTCTTTCAATGTGAGAGCAACAATCTGGCTCATTAGGTAAATAGTAGATGTAAGCCAAACGAAGTAGAGTTCAAGTCAAATCTAGCAAGTCTAGTGGACGGTTTCTCTTACAAAAGACAAATGAAATTGGATTCAATAATGTTCCAAAAAAAATTTTTTTTTCATGTTATGGAGCAAACTATGGGTGTTTTTTGGTGTTTTATAGGAAATTGTGTGCGTTTTTATGATTCTGTTCAAGCTTTTTCTCAATTTCAGTTTGCTATTTGTGATTAGGGATGTTCAATTTTATAGGTTTTCTAGTAATGTTCAGTGTAAGGATCACGGTTTATAAGAAATATTTTTGTGGATGAACCAAACATACAGATGATTACCCCTGAAATAGCTATCAAAAATATGTATAAATAGGTAGGAAATTTCATGGTAATCCAACCAAGAATGGGTCACTGATGTTTTCATTATGGTGGGTCTTAATACTATGTAAATTACCTATGTACTTGAAACTTGGATTGTGCTTGAGTACTTCGGTATTTAACCACAAAATAATCATTTTGATAAACTTCCTTTTTGTAACTAAAATGCTGATTTTCCACGGCTTCTCAGCCTCATATATTGAAAAAAAGAAACATAGAGGCAGCTCTGCACAAAACTATCATTCTCTATGTCAAACAAATCATTACCCTTATGGATTAAACATTGATTGATTATCCGTGTACATCTTTCATGTTCTCTTCATTTCCTGTTGTAGAGTGTTAAGTTTGGAAGCATAACAGATGTTCAGTGAAGTCCTGTTTGATAGAAAATATTTCAGTTCATAAAATCTTTTTGGAAAATATTGTTTTGAATTATTTGTATTTGTAATACTTCATGGAATTCTCCTGCAATTGTCAAATTGTTTAATTTATGGTGTTTTCGTGTTCAGTAATTTGTTTCTGTGTCTGCACTCTGGAGTACATGCTCTATTGATTTTGGTGGTTTGGCTCGCCTTACAAAATCAAATTCGCGGTGTGTAATTTATTGTGTTTACTTCAAAAAGTAATATCATTTTATCTTCATTAAGTAAAAACCAGAAAGTTGCTTTCATAATTCGCATTATTGTTTCAACACTTGTAGATGAAGGGAATGCGTTTTACTTATAAATCATGCAGTTGTTTTCACTATTTGTTCTATTTTTGAAGACATGTCGGCCTCCTCTTTCTCAATAGCAAATTTAAAAACATATTACCCCATTTAAAGGTGTCTGTTTGTTCAACTAATAGATTGTTTGGAGAAATGTTAAAAACACCTCACAAAGAGTGTTTATGGTCCTTCAACTGTTTAAGGATCAGAATTTTTGGTTCATTCCCATTCTAGGTTTCAGAATAATAGTAAAAAATTGAAGTAATAGTTTGAACATCCCTAATTACAATTTTGTGTCTGAGTGTCTGCTGCTTAAATTATTTTACGTGAAAATACATGCCTGGTTCTCTCGTACCTTTACCCATTGTACAAACTTTTGGCCAAATATGGTGTTTTTTTTTCATATTCAGCGATTGTGTCAAAATAATTACTACTACATAAATGTTGTTTTATTTATTTCAATCGATATTGAGTTCCTTTTGTGATTGTATTTTAATTATTTCATTTGGTAAAATGTGTCAGAATTTTTCATTCATATGTTATGCGTCTTTTTATAGCCAACGACTTCACTCTCGTGGATAAAATTGGTAATCTGTATCGACGAAATCAATCCTAATTATTATACTGTCCCTCCAGCTTAATTTTTCAGTTCCTGAATTGAGAGAAATATAAATCATGTTATTTCAATTTGAAATATTTTCTGAATACAATTTATTTTAATAAGTGTGAACGAGGCCTCATGGTCAATACGTATATATAACTTGCAATATATAGGGTGGTCCTTAAACTCTTTAAAATCGCGAAAGGAATATATCGATACCATATATTATTTTGGCCCTCACAGATATATTGAAAGAAGTAAAAATACTTATTTAATAATTAATGATTAAAAAACAACAAACCTGTTAAGATATATTGAGAACTGACTTCATAACAAAATTTAAATTGTAAAGAGACTTTATGGATACCCTGTATAATTTAGAAATCTTATCTTCTAATAATCTTGAGTTGTTTAACGGTGAAAAAAGAAACTGATTTGAACTGCACTTTATTATGTCTGGATTTTCGTTGGCAATAAGAATATCAGACTCATTTATGTGGGAGTTGTTTATTTAATCGGTGAAATTAGGAGATTTTTCAGAAACTGCCTTTGTTAGGACTTATTTAATTATCATAAATGTTTTGTTATTGTGTCATCACTAATTTCCTGATATATTGTCCTTCATTTAGCATGTCCTAGGCTAGAATAGTGGTTCCCAACCTTTTATGGCTTGTGGCTCCCTTTCGGAGGCTTTTAGCAATCATGACCCCGCTTCATCATTTCAGTGGTATTTGCAGTGTTATTTTGATTGGTAGATTCCAAACCCGATCATGTTCAAACAATTTATGCGCAACAAAGTGAAAACACCCTGTGAAATAACCTTGTCAAGCCATGAAACTGGGAAGAACGCAAGGGAAAGGTAAAATCAATTTTGCACCTGGTTTTGTGGCCTTTTTTGCCTTGCTCTCCCTTGGAAAGCCTCCAATTGGGAACTGCTAGGCTAGAATAAGTTGGGCCAATGCCCCATCTTTTTAACCTGATCCTTGATAAACAGAATTAAGATAACAGATTGTAATATTAGTTATAGAGCAGAGCAATAACAGAATCCAATATTTCTTTGTCTTTCTATTTTGTGTGTCTTATTATTTCACTGCTTTTATTTCAAACCGCAACATTTTTTCGTTGTCAAATATTGAGTGTGTTTTAGGACACATATGAATTTTTTTCATTCATGACAATGTAGTAACTGAACCAATAATTATTGCATATTGGTTTGATTATTAGAAATCAAGGTGCCACCTTGGTATGCGATCTTAACGGGTGTGAAGTCTCATTAATTTTAGTATTAAGCTGATTTTAACTCCGGCTCATTGGGTAATTCAATCTGGCCCGCCCGATGCTGCCACAACCAAAGTAAAACCAAATTTTGATGTTTCAAGCTAAAAAATAGCTCAAGGAATTTGAGATTGCAATAAAAATTAGTTTAAGCGCGAGGCTTTTTTTCTTTTGTAATACTGTAAATATAGTTTTACGTCACCCTTACATGGCCCTCCAGTCTAGCTGGGCAAAACTTTTGGCCCGTTGTTCAAAAACCTTGGCCACCCCCTGTTCTAACCCAACGATGATAGGAACTGGATTCTATGAGGTCTTTATGCGATTTAGATCATGTTTAGCAAGTGAGATCACGAATTAAGTAGTTTTATGACACTTAGATCGCATACCAAAGTGCCATCGGATTGCAAATGATTTGAATTAAATGTTGTGGGATTCTGAATCAGTGTATTGGGTCTATCTTGTACATTGGTATGTTTTCCTGATTACATTCTCATTACTTGTAGATCTAGCATCAAATATCTTGAAAATACAAGATTCTTTTAATTCAAAAACCAATTCATTTCATTCTAAAGTTGTAATATATTTAATTTGGCCATTTATTTATTATGGACTGATTGTTTCGTATTTATTCTTGACCGATTTAACTTTGCTTGAGTAATTTGTTATTCTGATATCTATGTTGGATATTAAAAATTGAAATGGTCTCATGTTTCGTTGAAAATTTTTGATTCAACTATAATGTAGTAGCCCTATTCTATTAGTAATGAGTATTTTAGTCATAAAACTGGCTTTAATAATTTTTTTTTTCATCTAAATTCTAATATTGTTCAATTTATAACTTCCTTCTACACTGGGAGGATTCTTAATTCATGATTAGAGACATTTTCTGGGTAAAAAGTGGCAGATTGATTTAAGATGCTGACACTCTCAATGATAGAAGTCCAAAAAGACTTTCCATTAATTCCAACCTTATAAATTTACTCAATCTCAATGTTTTAATCTTCTTAATTGAACAAATTTGGTTGGCGGAAACCAGTATTGGTTCACATAGGCTGACCCTACAAATCGCAACACGCCGTACACACCTATCGCAGCAAATGGTTGCATGAGAGAATTGATGAAAATCATAATGCTCTCATAAGCAGAATTTTTAGTGCCCATATAATTTGGCCCCTTAGTTTGGCACTTTTTTCTTATAGTTTTAAATTTGGCTTATATGTGAAGATATATGGTATGTTAAATTAGTTCTTGTATCTCAGCCGCCTTTTTTCCCAGTCTCTCTTTCAGTGCGTGATAAAGCCTGTCTTTCATTCATCCATGTTCGTTGCATACATATCTATGAGAAAGGATTATCATGTTTTGTGTTTTCTTTTCTTGTGTATAAATAGTTTTTCTTCTAGTGCCAATGGTAACTACTCTGCTTTTTTTTTTGTCAAGGCAGTAAAGATGAAATCAATATAGTTTTAAATACCAGTAAATATTTTGAAGTATGTCAGACTATGATACTTCTGATGATTGGATAGACTGGAATCCCAATGGAATTCCATCGACCGATGATGAAACAGATAATGAAGATATTCAATCAGGTGAATATTTTTGATCAGGTTTTTTCAAACCGGGCCCTTTCGGGCGCTACGTAGCGTTTCTTGGTATGAAAAAGTGTGTAGTAACCAACGAAAGTTTTGAATGTTTTCGATTGTGATTTTTTTTTTCAAACTGGGCCTTTGAGGGCAGGGTTTATCATCATATTGGTAAAAGCTGAAAATGCTGACTCGCATATGTGTGTCGTTGTAGAAGCTATTAAAATTTTAATTGCCTTTTTTGTCAGCAATGGATATCGTCCTCAATGATTAACCAAAATGATGCAATGGCTTTTTGATTGTAATCAATCATTGATCAGACTCTTTTTCATATCGTTGCTGACCCTTGTGCTGTCATCACCTACCCCCAGAGGTCCGCGGACCCAAGTTTGGGGAACCCTGCTCTAGGGGACTTCGTAGCAGTTCTCAGTGTGAAAATTGTATAGTTACCAACAATATTTGAAAGTTTTGAACCATTGCTGACTGTTGAAAATAAAGTCTGATATTTTAATCAGTTTTGAGAATTATTTTTTTTTTTCTATACTCCGAGGAGTTTTTTGCCGAAACTCATGATATGTGCTATATTAACATAAGGCATGATTTATTGTTTTATCCAGATTTGTCTCATGTAATTCTTTCGTTTTGGTTTCATTATTTAAAAATTCTTATTTCAACTATTTTTTTTATTTTTACTTCCAGATATCAGTGACACAGATTCCAATGTAATGTTGCTGAACCACGAAAGGCATTTACAACGCAGAAACGCCCTCCCAAATATTCAAGACTCAAGTGAGATTGATACTTTGGATCAAAATGAAGAAAATATCATTTCATCAGGTAGTTGAATGTCCGAACTTTATGTGTATTAGAATTTTCCAATAATTTATATATATTGTGAGTTGGGTTGCGCGAGACTAACTTCCTATCCCTCCTCTGTGCCTTTATGGTAGTGGATCATATGCGATAATGCAAGGATGCTGTAGCAGGAATAAATAGGACTATACAATGCAATTCAAAAGTCCTGCTGCACACTAACACAAATATAATTTTGTAACGTTTCTTCTGACCAAAATCGTGTTAGTGTGCAGCAGGAATTTTGAATTGCATGCAATTATACATTCTAGTCGGGCTGATTTCATCAAATGAGGGGCCTTGCTGATGGTTCATTATACTAAGTCCTAGAAAAACTGTCACTTTATTAAATCCTCCGTCATGAGTTCACAAATTTGAGCCTCACACGGATGATTTGTATTAATGGATTGCTGGAATACTTACTTTCCAGTGATTCCCAAATGACTGCCCATGGGCCTATTGCGGCTTGCGTGACGATTCAATATGACCTGCCGATCGTAGGTGAATTAGTTTACCAATTTATATTTTTTTCTTTTTGCGTTCTAGATACCGCCATTTGTTATGTCATTATCATAGTTCAAAAATTTGTATATTTGTTACAATTCAATTATACCAGTATATTGATTATACATATCGTATCGGCCCCTTGCAGGGGATCCACATTCCTGGCCCGTGAATATCCTTCAGATTCTAATTTTGGCCCACGGATAATCAACTTTGGGAAAAAATGTATTAAAACATCTCTGCATTACTTTGACGAATAAATATAAAAATTTGAGATAGTTACAGATGGGAAACCTTACCCGATTATCATAAAACCCACTTTCAGTAAACTCACGCATTTCCGCTTGCTTAAAGGTGAAGAAACTGATAACGAAGAAGAAGAAGAAAATAATGGTGAAGAAGATTTATTATCAATTGCAAGTAATGGATATAGATCAGCAGACAGTCAGCTAATTGGACAGACAGGTATTCTTCAAGTTACAATAGCTGGAGTGTGTTCTCCGAGTTTAGAATACCAGTGTACTAATTGCAACACAAAAAATTCATTTTTTTACTGCTAGGGGGGTAGTATTGTTGTTGTCAGATGTCAGATGAAAATGCGCTCACATAGGCAAAAATCCATATTTTTTTTTGCGTTTGTCGCTGCGGTAAATCTTTCACCGTTTTTATTACTGTAAGGCTATCTAGGCAAAAGCCGTAGCCTATTCTCTTCTCTTGCTGACTGATGTACGGTACATTTGAACAGTCAGTTTGGCTGATGCTAAAAACCTATGCAAGAACTCGTGTTATGCAATTCGATTTGTATATGGAAAAACTACTGTAATTTCTTTGTGGCCCAGCTAAATGTCTGAAGTTGATTATATGGCCCACCGAGCTAAAAAATATTCTCGAGGAATTTGTTGAGAATGCGATTAAATTTAGTTTTGGCACGAATTTTTGTTTTCCACTTTTATAACACTGTAAATATTATTCATAAAATGTAACTTTTTACGGCCACACTTACATGGCCCGCCAGTCTTTCGATCTCTGGTCCAAACACCTTGCCCAATCCTGATCTAGCTGAAACTTTACCAAAGCATTTTGATCATTTCAGCCCCACCAGAAACAACAACAACCTCAAGACCTCTGACCCCCGTGCCATCCACATCAACAAAACGTAAGCAATCATCACCTCGACCTAATCCGAGCCCAAAGAAAACGAAAGAATCGTCGTTATCTCAAGAAGAAGACGGAGATTGTTGTCCAATTTGTTTTGAACATTGGTCAAACAGTGGAAAACACAGACTATCATCACTGAAGTAAGTGACATTTTTATTTAGAAAAGAAATGAACCATATTTTTACTATCAAGTGTTACATTCATTTATAACGAGTTATGCATTACACAATACTATAACGCCATCGAGTATTCGACTGATTAAGAACCTGGAAGGTTATCCAGCCTTGTCCTATGGCTACGAGTGAAAGGGCTGATCTCACCGGTATCTCAGGCATAGGGTTTGATTTTCAACGTTTTATGTATAGTATGGCTTCAATTTGGGTTCCTTGGAAGCATACTTATTTTTGGGTTAATAATTAATTTATGATAAATGGGTGGGTACAGTTCATAATATGCTTGTTATCACACTTTTTGCTCCAAAGAAGGTCCTGTACATACAGACTCTGATATGTTGATGCCTACTATTTCGGTATAAACATATTATGCTTTCAGTCTTTTTGAGCCATTCTGACATTGTTTTTCATGTTAGAATAATGAATTTTTTTACAAGTCTGATGATAATTTTTTATAAGACTGATGGAAAAATAATGAAAATTCAAGGGGCTGCAGTACTGCTGGAAAATTCATATTTTGGGTTTATACCAGCAATATATGCTCAACTGGTTATAAGAACACGACATACTTCAGCCAAACTATGAATCAAAGTTTATAGTTTGAATTTGCCATGCATTATTATGAATAACCCTCGGTGCAACCACTCACTATTTACTTGGGATTATGATCTCAAATTTTTTAAGAAATCTTCTGAAAAATTCACAAATGTAATATTACAATCTAGGTGTGGCCATCTCTTTGGACAGAGCTGCATTGAAAGATGGATGAAAGGTGCAAAGAAATGTCCGCAGTGCAATACAAAAGCCAGGAAAGCTGATATCAGGGTTTTATATGCAAAAAAGCTGACAGCTGTCGATACAACGGAATTAACAGAGGCTACTACGTAAGATTTTATAAATTTTGAATAGAGTGTAATTGTGAAAATTTTCCGCAATATGGCTTGGAATAAGGCTATGAATGAGTTGCCACGCTGGTATGAAGCTATAAATGCTTGATTGCTCGCCAAGATGGATTAGTCTCACCCAGCGGTTCCTAAACTTTCTCTTTGTGTGGCGCTGAAAAATCAGGGAAAAAACTCATTGCGCACTTGCACTAAAAAAGTTTCTGCTTTTAAATAAAACTCAATTTTGTGATTGTTAATTTGTACTTTATGTCATTTAAAGTTTGTAAACATGAAGAATAGGCGAAAGGTCGACTCTTCTTCCTCATGTCTGCCTGATTTTCCTCTGCTAAAAACTAAAAAATACTGAAAAAAATCACTCTTGTTCCTCAAACTCGGTTCAGAAGATGCTTGCGGATGCTCACGCGGGCGCATCATGAACTATTCAAAAATGAGAGTACGTGACATGGATCTTTTTAAGATTGAACAAATAACGGAGATAAAGTTTTAAAGCATAGCGGATGAAAGAAATTCAAAATCGGCAATATATTTTAAAAAAGATTGTTGATCGCTGGTATAAGCCAAGTGCAACTATTATCGAATCTGATTAAGATTAATCTTGACGAGTTATTTTCTACACAGAGCCTTTGAACATGAAAAGAAACTGAGAAGGAACAAGGAAATGGAATTGGCCAAAGTACAAATGCAATATCAGATGGCAATGACTGAATGTAACAGATTGAAGTCACAGTTGGAGGTTTGTCTTTTTATTTATTATATTTCATACAAGTAAGCTTTTCTTTGTGATCTGTTCTGCAAAACTGAGTAGCTTGGATGAGTGAAGTGTTCTGTTTATGCCACACATTGAAGTTTTGCTGTATGCTGAAGTATTGTCAAGGAAAATCTGAAATGAACTCGACCCCGCGTTGAAAGAAATTTTGATTCTGAGGATAAATACTTCTGCTAAAATGTCCATCACCAAGTTTATATCATGTGGGGAAAAATTATGTGCAAGAGGATTGCTGGAATCCTCGTCGCCATAGGGTGGTTCACTGAAGACAAATTATTGGTTAACTATCTATATACCTGGCATGGAATTGTAACTGGATGAGAGAAGAGGAGTAAACTGCCATATTATCATATCGTCCTACCAGCTTTTCTTTCCGGTATAAATAAGATCCTATCTCTAACTAATTTAGTTACCTAGGTTTAGTTAAGTTTTTTCTTGTAAATCCCAAGCTAAATGCGTATTTTGAAAATGCTCTCGTTTACTCATGTCAAATTTTGCTTAATATTAGGATCTCAAAAACATGTATGCGTCATCAACATTACCAACAAGAGTGTCAGGAAAGACAAATACAAGATCACGAGCGGAAAAAAAGTTCTCACACATCAAAAATGTTTTAATATCTTCCACTGGAAATTGCAGAGTCATGGATTATCATGCTGAGTCGTTGTCTCTCGCTATATCTCAGCCAAGTCCACACACAACTTTTATGCAAGGTAAGAACAAGGTATTTTTGGAGGTGAGTTCATTCAAGCCTTTCTCTAAACAAGGCTCTGCGGTCTACACAATCATAAGCCGACCTACTAAAAACGACCCTGAAATGGTGAATTTATAAAAATCCACATATAAGATGAGTCTACAAATCGTAACGTGCCATACGGGTTGTAGCTGTTAGAATTAAATTAGCATAATTTCATTTCAGTGTGATGTTATGCATGTTTATGCCGACCCTTTAGTGTTGTCAGCGTTACGTGCATATAAGCCAATTCCTTACTTTCTATTTTTTGAGTTTTAAACTCGGCTTATATGCTAGAGCAGGGGACTCCAACACGCGGCCCGCGTCATGGTTGGGATTTTTTCACAAAAAACTATAATAGTACGAAGTTTTATTGTGATATTTCTCATCAGAGTCCGATCCGACAAACTGTAAAAAGTGAAGCAAAAATTTCCTCCTATTATCCATATTCATGTTTTATTCTATGGTTATAATTCAATTATAAATGCAATAATTTCATTTCGCATGTTCATTGTGACGAAATAAACGAGTTTCGGTCCGTCCGTTGTGCCCGAAGAAAGGTTTGCAAAGCTAATGGCACATTCACGTCGCATACCTGCGATGTTTGGCAGTTCTCACATTTGCGAGCAGTTTTTTATTTCAAGTATGAAAGTTAGCAAGTTAGCCCTCCGCACACGGCTAATGGACGAGCATTTACATGTTGTCTTAAGACTAGCAAACCAACGCAAAATAAGGCCAAACATCGAAACCAAATATCCAGCACAAGTAAATGCATATGTTTCATGTCTCGTTTGCTGTAAGATTCAAGTGTAATTTCAACACAGTGTGACAGTACATTCTGATACCCATTTTTGTACCTAATTTTCTTGGTTTGCAGCCCGCATGGTCAATAAATTTCAAAAAGTGGCCCGCGACATGTTTTGAGTTTGAGACCTCTGTGCTAGGGTATACTGTACGGCATGGGATTTAAACCTCAAATGTGTAATCTGTGATGCCAAAAAGTTGAGTTTATCGTTTTAATGCTAAACTCAAAAATGATATTTTATCTTTAATTTTCTATTCCAATTTCCAGGTTTTGGATTGAAAAAATTTAGTGTTTGTGACATGAAAAGCAGTCATTTCAATATTCTTCATTCCAAACCAATCAGAGATGTCAGATTTTCACCTCACAATAGTTTTGTATTGACGGCATCTCAAGATGAAACGTTGAAAATAACAAAGTAAGTACTACTTACCTTAAGATTTGCTCTGAACAAGGTCGAGCCCTACCGGTATGTTATGTATGGAGCTGCTACTGATATTTATTAGTTTATTTAGTTAAATATTTATCTCAATACTAATACTTTTGAATTAATTAGTAATCTTGTAAATTTTAAATATATATTATCAATGGACACATTATACTAATTAATTCGATCATGCAAAAGCCTGAGTGTGAGTTGCATGAACATTAGCCAAGAATTCTTTAAATACTTTAATGCAGAGTGGTATGGAATAAAAAGTTTTACCAAGGACCCAAATGAGTTAAATAATAACATTGCAAAAAAACATGAAGTGTTTCAAGATTAATCGAAGAACTCTAGTCATAAAGTCCGAATCAATTTTCCTTTTCCAGCTGGGAAAACAATTCTTCTGTTCACACATACAAACCTCAGAAACCTGTGTGGAGTTGTTGTTGGGATATGAAGGATTCAAACCTTCTCTACGGAGGATTGAGTGATGGATCGATAAAATGCTACGATATGAGAAACACGACTGATGTTTTGCATACGATATTAAACCCAGTATCAAGGTGAGAAAATCTACTGTTTTTTTTTTTCGGAAGGACGCACAGGGCCGGTAATTGGGAGGACAAATTGGGAAATTAAGTGGTAGTAACTCCCGTAGTATATGTACCTGGTTAGGGTTAGGCGATAATTTTATTCCGATTCTCCTTATTTAGTTCTGTTTCGAGTTCGGGGACTGTCTGTGTTAGCCAAGTGAATATACCCTTGCACGTAGGTTTCAGTCCCTTTACACAAATTGATGTAAAGTAGGCGAACAAAATTAGTTACCTTCGCACATTGTGTTTTAGGCCAGTAGGGTATTGCATTATGAGACGATTAAACTTATGTTTTTGTTTTGACATTTATTTTACTCTAGGTGTCCAATAGTGTCTTTGTACAATGTGTCTCAAACTTCAGATTCTGAAACTTCAACGAACGGTCTTCTTTCACAAACTTTCAAAAACGTAACTTTCTGGCGACAGTCAACTGAAGAATTAGAATATTCTCCACATTATTTACCTCTGCAACCTGGCAACTGCGCTGGACTTCAATATTGTGATAATTTAAAACAATGTTTGGTCACGTTCAGACCAGGTTTGTTACATAATTAGATGTTTGAAATATGGTTTGATGCTTGTACTTTTAATAATAATGGGTTGTAAAAATTTGTATCGCTTCGAATACTTTCTTTCCATAACCATTATAATAAACAAGTCATTGGTATTACCGAGAACATGGTTGCGGAGACTGGAAAAATTACACCTGACTGTCTGCATTATCAGCATTGAAAAACTGAAATTCTGACTCAATTAGAGAAAATTTCATATTTTTGACGATGACTCTGGCTTCAACTCGCCATATTATCAATCAACCAAATTTTCACTAAAAAAAAATTGATATCCAGATATCACGAATGATTGTTTTGTTATGAAACTTGCTTCAAGCAATTCAGAATTATGATTTTTTTGTGTTTTGTTCCATCCTTATGCTTTCAACCAAACTTTTGACAAGCAGGCTTTAATCTGTACAGAGCTACATATGTTCTTTGCATAATCCACCCAGTTCATTACTTTATGGGTGAATTGTTGTTTACATATTGACATCTTTAACTCATTAAGCCTACATAAACATACCTTTGTTCTAATCAGTGAGCCGTCCTGCAGAAAGTATTAGTCGATGTGCTATTGAATTCATGGATATCTTGACTATATATGAACTTCTTAACAAAAGAAAATTTTATCTTTCCTCGTAGGACAATCATATACTTGCACAACACATATTCTCTGTCAAATGGAATTCAACAACTCAATGATCACAAACGTGATAGAAACATATAATGGGGGACAATGCCATAAAATGTTGACAAGGAATTCATTATTCTCAACCAATTCGTCAAATAACTTAGTCTGTGTGACAGATGAGGGAAAGAATTTAGTTAATGTAAGTATGTCCAAAGGAAAATGTGAGCATTGTGTAGATGGGGGATAATTATGTGCGAGAGGATTGCTGGTCTCCACGCCACCGTATGGTGGTAGACAAAAATCTCTGGTCGGTTGCGGCTTTTTCCTCCTTCAGATCCATGTGAAAAAAAATAACTGGCATACTAATCCCATACCCAACAAGCAATGTTCCCTCTAATTTTTTGTAGTATGTGTGCGCAGAAATTTTGGTGTGTGCGCACTTTTTTGGAAATGACTAATATTTGTGCAAAAACCAATGAAGAAATTTTGGCGTTCTAACCGGGTAATGGGTGGGCCAACAACAAACTTTCCCAACCTGCCAACCGAGCACATTGTTACATTACATCGAAATACGTCTGTGCGCAGTAAATCTATGCATGTGTGCACCCTTTGAAAGCTGTGTGCGCGCGCACACCTTAGAGGGAACACTGCCAACATAGACGAGGGTTGTGTAGGGCTAGGGTTCCAAATAGCGACTGCCACAACAGCAACAAACCCTAACCATAACTACCTTAAAATTAATGTGACACAACATAGCGTTACCTCCCGACAATAGACCAGGAAATTCGACTCAGTGAATTCTATAACTACCTTAAAATTAATGTGACACAACATAGCGTCACCTTCCGACGACAGACCAGGAAATTCGACTCAGTGAATTCTATAACTACCTTAAAATTAATGTGACACAACATAGCCTTACCTCCCGACGACAGACCAGGAAATTCGACTCAGTGAATTCTATAACTACCTTAAAATTAATGTGACACAACATAGCGTTACCTTCCGACGACAGACCAGGAAATTCGACTCAGTGAATTCTACTCAGTGAACATCATGTGTCCTTAGTGAATTCAACTCAGTGAACATCATGTGTCGTTAGTGTCGCTATCACAGCAGTCGCTGTTTTAATGCGATCGCCATTATGACAGTCGCTGTTTTGACAGTCTCTATCCGGCCTGGATATCGTTGTGTAGACTTTTTTGATATGGTTTGCCTTTTTGATAACTCTTCATTCGCCCCATTATACATATAAATTCTGTTTTCATTTCAATATTTAATACGATAATTGACTGGTTTATGCAGTTTGAATAGCTACTAATTTGTGCATAAATATGTATTACAGTGATACGGAACAGGTAAAAGACATTAGTAATGTTAGCAATACTACACACAAATACCAACTAAAATTTCCTCATCTAAAACAGGTAACCTCTTCCTTGGTTGGGTTAGCGTGATGCACCAACGGTCCTCACTTTTTACTGGTCGATAATAAAATTTGAGTTGATTCCTTTTTCAGATTTATGAAGCACAATCAAAAGGAAGTTTAATTCAATCATTATCATGCAGTGGTCCAGCTTTGGATATATTACCTATGAAAATCAATGAGAAACAACTTTTAGCAACTTTATCTGATAAAGAACTTAAAGTATATGAGCAGAAATAAGCGCTTTATTCAAACAAGACTTTGTTTCGCCAATCGCTGCATTTTTGCGATGAACCATGCTAATTGTACTTACCCTTGGGCTAATAGTTTTTCAACATATCAGCCTTTTCCTGACAATTTCAAGTCTCATGTTAGCTGGCAAGTTTAAATGTATGACTCTCATTGCGCCAGCAATATCTTGCAACTTTTCAGTGGGGGTTCATAATTTTGCTGTGTAGCTTTCTTTTCAGAGCAGGTTATCAACCAGTCTGAAACTTCGCTGATAGCTAAACATTTTTATTACTCATATTCTATAAGGTGTAGCCGAGAGCGTTGTCAACCTCTGTCTAATTTTGAAGTAATAAGTACCAGTATTTTACCCTAATTTTTGTATTTGAAAAGTTTGCCTCCACAAAAGCTCTACTTTCCACTATTCAAAACACATTTTGCTTTCCTATCTTGCCTAATTTGTAATACCATACCTCTTTTGCCTTTTTAAGATCCTTCAGTCCTGCCGCTGTACATAGAAGTTCTCGCTTTGGTAGTTAATAATAGGTATAGAATATAGGTGATACTACATACAAAGTATAAATTCCTTCCATAAAACAATTAAGTTCCTACCTTGGGCGGTATTCCTCTCTGGTTGAAAAACTTTGGTTCAACACCCAAAACTATCATAGCTTTAAAAAGATTTCACATTCATACAAATATCCCGGAGGTACTATGCAAAAGTGGTTCGTCAACTTTTCTCAAATTCTCTATATTATCGGGCCAATGTAACAGACTTCTGCTGCTATACGATTCCTCATTCATCTATCATGGCCTTATGTTATTATTGTTGAATTCTTGTTGCCTTGATTATGTTTATTTCATTTGTTTAAGAACAGATATTTATGTTTGCAATATTGTGTCTCATCTTCTTTGTTCTGTAAGGGAGTTGTGCCATTGAGGTACTCAAATACGTAACCTTCCTAGTCAATTGCTAAGTGATGTAAATGTGCTACAAATGCCTGATAAATTTCTGCACTTCTCACACTGCTTTGAGTCACATTTGAAAAAAAACTGTAGGGTTGTGGTGTCTGTGTCTGGGGAAATTATGGCCAATACCAGGCTCTGAACTCTGAAAGAAAGTTTCATTTCCTGTGCTCAGAACACTATAACCACACATAATGGACTGGAAGTAAATCGATAAGATCTGTTCAACTGGAAATATAGCTTTTAGTCGATAGTGGGATTCAGCCGGTTCTATAGAACCGTCTCACGGAATTTTATGAGATCAGCAAACCGGTTACTGTCAGTGACTTTTGTGATGGAACCGGCTGACAAAAAATTGAATCCCACCACTGCCTTTAGTACCAATAGAACACGAAGCTTAGATGTATAAAATTATTTATTGCAAAAAAAATCATGCAGTGCAGAGTGGGAATGAATAAGGTTTGAAACTCGGTAATCGGTATTTTATACTTGGTGAAAATTCTACATCATAGTTGAACAAATGGGTGGGTCACAATTCTAAGGGAAGGAGGAAAAAATTGGTCATCCATTACAAAATCTGATAAAAACATCCTTGAACCATAATTTTGATGCAACATGCTAAAAATAATTGGGCTGAAGTTGAAAATTGCTGTGATGTAACTTATTTGATTTACTTTGTATTTTGCCTAAAGAATTAGCAGATAACATAGTTCATTTGAAAAAACGTTCGTTTTGACTCTTTTACTTTTGAACATTTCAAAATCAAATTATCTGAGAAATAGCCATAACAAAGTAGAAAAATTGTCAAACAAAATTCAACATGTAAAAAGCAAATAAAAATATTGTCATTACTTTAGCAGATAGTGAAGACAAAAAATATATAGAACTCAACAACTGAAAAAAATCCATTTTGCTGTACTATAATAAAACTTTATATGCTTCATACAAGTATGTCGAAAAATTATATGAATGTATTCAAAGTTTTGATATCTTCATCAAACATTTTCAATTTGAGTTGTTTGGCATACCAAGATTGGATCAGTGATGCAATTTATTTCAATTGAAGGGATAAATGTTTTATTGAAATGATGAAACAAGTATTGAGTACAAAATTTATTTTTTTTTGCAATCTTAGTTGAACATGATACAAATTAGGATAGATTGATTCAATTAATCTAAAATTCAAGAGCAAACACAGCTTTTGAATAATATAAAGCTTGTGTATTCAGTTATGATCATTGTATCATAAAAGCCAGAACACGTATCAATTAAAAGTGAGTTTGTCTGGAGGAAAATGACCAGAATCTCCAAGACAACGCAATGAAACTTTTCCATTAGGCCTTACTGTGAGCCAAGTTATACTACAATGCCTTAATCCTAACCTAAGCCATCCCTCCGGTGGATATTGTAAAGCTCGACAAACAAAATAACGAATCACATTTGCATGACAAACAAATACTTCAACAGAGTCTTTTTCTTGTTTGGGGCTTGCTCTGTGTACAAATTTCCTAAAAGCAGCCTCAATTCTTGGGCCGTCTGAATGGAACTCCTTAGGCGCAGGCACCCATGTTGGGTGACTCGGAACTGGGGCTATAGGGGCACCTTCTCTCAATAAATCAGAGGCCTTTACCTCAATATCAGGAAGGACTTTCTGTATAATTGAAGATGTTTCTTTAGCACGGGTCATAGTAGATTCATAGATAGTAGACACACACAAATTTAATTCCTTTAACCTCAACGCTGTCAAGTGAGCTTGTTCGCGCCCTAGTGGAGTGAGAAATCTTTTTTCATCAGTTTCACCATTCAAGTTATACTGTCCATGTCTAATAAGTATAATGTGACGAGTCGCAGTTGGTTTTGCCACTCCTTCCTGCTTTTCTTTCGAGGTTAATTCTCGTTTATCCCAATTGTCATCCCAAACTGGTTGATATGGTTTTATAAAATCAGAGTAAGGTTCTGTCACAGCTGCATTCAGCCATGTATTTCCAAAGTTCTTTTTTATGTTGTCTTTATATGAATATAAAATGCATGAACTTACGCTAATAAATGCCGTAGTTTTGTAAAGACGACTCGAGAACATGTTTTTAAGAAAAGAGTTGAAGATGCTCTAACATACAGAGATGACATGCAAGAGTAACAAAAATTATTTCTAATACTGTGAACGATGTAATGTTTACAATTTTAAACGCAGGTGAATACAGGAATAAACTGATGAATAAATGCTGGCAATTAGATAGACAGTTTGTTTGAATACTTGAAGTGAACAGATATATATGCTGTGTTGTGAAGATGGCTAAAACTGTGCGAAGTCTAACCGATTGAGAACTTTAGGGCTGGCTCACTGCAGCACTGACTGCAGGACTGTCAGATTGTAGTTAGGATAGGATAGGATAGGATTTACATATTTATCCCGGGGAAGAGGAAAGCCGATAAGACGGCTTATCCATATGGCGAACCACGGCCTCTCGTCCGGTTACCATTCCAAGTCGGGTATGGGATTAGTTTTTACTGTATTGTTTGTTTTTCGGAAGCATGGACTTCCGAAAGTCGGTAATTTTAACACGGTCGGTAATTTTTTAACAAGTCGGTAATTTTTTACAGTCGATAATTTTAACACAGACCAACTCCTAACTGTGAAAATAAACTGAAACATCTTTTTAAGCCAAATTGATTTCTAAGTTATTCATTTAAAGCGGTGCCCAGGTTATAGAAAAATAGCTAGAAGCATTCTAAAACAACAAACGTAACAAGATACAAATAAGGAAGTCATAAGGAACGGCGCTTTCGTCGTTGTTCGTGTTTCATTCTGCCGCTCGGGGGCGCTAATGCATCGCTGATATGAGAAAAATTACGTTACAGCCTTACAGGTTACAATGTCCGTTTTGTGTTGGTCAGTACAATGACATTAAACAACATGATGCGCAACTCCGGCATTTTTGTCCGAAGATCGTATTCGATAGCACGCTCCAATGCACATACTTGACGAGACGAAAACGAGCGGATGTGTGCTGCTTTCGAGGCGTAGCACGAATGGTGTTCGTGCCTGCTTTGACAGTTGTTGTCGATTTTAATGATATTTTTGAAAGTTGGGGTAAAAAGAAATCGGTAAAAGGTAAGGTGAATACTATTGTTGTATATCACACCCGGGCATCGCACTGTTAAGTACATGTGGGAAAGCCAGCCTTTGTCAAATACTACGAAGTTATTAATTCAGTACGGTACGTAGTTGCCCATTTGCCGAAATTACATATTTACTTACCCCTTATGGTTTCAAATAGTTCATGCACCTCCAGTTAGATTTTTTTAATCAGTGAGGATATATACTCATTGTTGATTGCTGCTCATTGTAAACTACTATTGCGCATTCACTTTTATTTGCGTATTGAATCAAAGTGTTAACAAGTTCACCTAACATTTCACTCATACCGGTCTATATTGTAGAGTCTGATTTCTCAAGTATTTGGAGCCACGAATGCTTGTAATTTTCTGACTAAACCCTTTTATTAGTTGGTTTATATACCAAATTCAGTAAAATATTTTTTACATAAAACATGAGATATTGGATTTATTAGCTTTTCCATTCTAAATCATATAGACTGCATTATTTATTCTTAACGAAAATTAATAAATCTCCTCTCTTTCTTCAGATGTGAAAGTTGTGGACAAACCTGTCTAAGCATTGTGAGACTCTTGCAGTACAAGAGGCAATAGCAGAAATAGTAAGTATATCAATCAAGAAATTAAGCCGACATAAAGCAAAACTTTCAACTATTCGTCTAATCTCAATTTCCTATTATTTATTCACAGGACAACTATAGCAGACGGGGAGATATCAGAAGTCTGGCGACATATCAGTGACAGTGTGATTCCAAGAAATATAATGTTTGCAATAGAAAAACAACCTATGGAGGCATGCAAAGACATTTGACCCTCCGGTAGAGTTGTTTATGGCCCCCGCATCTTGCAGGGCTTGAGGAAAATAACTAAAAATTCCAAAGCGTAAGATTGCATAAGCGGTCTTATTTGTAAAAAGGCACAAAACACGCCAGACATACTTAAAACAGCTTTGGAAATGAGGATTACGGGTACCTCACTGCACCTGTGTTATATTTGGTTCTTCAACTTTTGGTAGTACTATAGAAGAAATTCCGGAAGGGGTATAATCATCATTCATGATAAAATACTATCATATATTTTTTGAACAACTTCAATCTAGACCAGGGATCTCAAACTCGCGGCCCCAGAGAACTTCCAGTGCGGCCCTCGAACGCTTAACAATAATTGTAATAGTATTTTGGAAGTTTTTTTTTTATCTAAATGTAATAGATTTTTCAAACCTTCTAAAGTGAAATTGATTATTCACACAGAAAACAATTTACTGAAAGTAGTTTTGGAATATTAATTTTTTTTGTCCACATTTTGACCCAATTAAGAATACACATCAAGCTAGCAAAAGAATACTTGAATAAAACACTTGAGTAATTAAATTAAACGCAAAGTACATGAAGAAGGTGGCATTTTCGAAGAAAATGGGAGTTGTAACATTTCTGATCTTCACAAAATTCTGAAGCACATTGTTTAATTTGTCATATTTCCATCAATACAATCAAAAAACACAATAAGCTCAGCAGTCAAAATGACAAATTCGAAGACCAACTTCGAACAGAAAATTTTCATGTGTTTATATATTAATATAATTATACAACGACTTAGTTACTAAAAATCAATATCAATAATAATTCAAGCAATCCTATGGCACGCAATGTAGTGCGAAAAGTCTTGTCGAAAAAATCTGTCATTTGTTTTTTTACTGATCTATACATGAAATGATAAAAGTAACTTTTTTGCATTACTGGAATTAATTAAACATTCGTAAAGATCCAGATAAACCCATGATCATGTGGCCTCGTTAGTTAGAGTTGGTACTATAAAATCATTTCGAACTGGCCTTAGTATGCTGGTGACACAAAAAAGATGCCAAACGCCAGGACAAATGTAATTATTAAAACATTGAGTTTATACTGTAGTATTTTTGTTAATTTTAGGTTCATATATTTAGATTAAGTTATTTTTAGTGTATGTATTATTCTTTCCTTATTCAAAGCTTGTTCAAAAATGATTTTGATGGTTGTACATAGAATTTTACGATTTTTTATAATAAATACTGTAACTTGCAAATGTTGCAATAATAGTGGAATGCAAATATTAATATGTAATTGCATTTGAAATTGAAGAAAATAATAAAACTTAATCCAACTGTTTAGTTGCATCACAATATATGTCACAAACTAAAACTATCTTAAAAATATCTTTTAAGTATACATTATCAAAAACTGTTTGCGGCTCTTTTTACAATTTTCAAAATGCAATGCGGCTCTCGAAAACCCATGAGTTTGACACCACTGATCTATTCTAGACGATTCAAGCATTGCTTTGAGAAATTATATCACTTCATTTAAATTGAAATAATCTCGCTATATTAAATACAAAATCGTTGCTATCATAAAGGTAAACCAATTCAGCCACTCGAAATATATTGGCCTTCACAAAGCAATGGAGGCAAAATTGAGAGTTCATGAGCTATGAACATTTGTCCTTTTCTTTGTCTTGAACTTTTCATACTCCACAGCCCCTATTAATTTTTTTTAATTCTAATTACCCTGTGATGGTCATACATATCTTTAACTTGTATTTTCTGTCATGATGTATTATCTCAATGTGCCAAACTATTAATTAGTGTGCATATTTTGCTTCCAGATGACATAAATGTATTGTCATGTTTATTACCTCAGCTTGGAGTATTGACAAGATAAAGGTGGCAGTAAATTAGGTAAACAAATTTTCAACTCATCGTTATAATAGGAATTCACAATCAATAGGAATTATAAACAGCCAACAATCAGTGAGAATTATATGCGAAATCCCTCAGAATAAATTTGTCTAAAATCGGAGGAAGGCAAAAAATATAGGTAGTTTCCATCCACACAAGCATTTCAAGAAGACTTGCTCGAGCCAAACTAAATGAGCATCGTCAGGTGATCGGTAAGGCTGCAAGTTGAATTCAGCCCTGCAACCTCCTGCATAGAAGATAATATTAATTAGTGGGCTATGAGCTAAATTCCTAAATTTAAACAAACCTATCTACGATGCATTATGTACCAGCAATGTTACCTACGATTAACTGAATATGTAATATGTCTAATAAATTCACCTACAAAAGCAAGTTCGATAGGTGCAAACTTTGTGTTATGGAATTGTATCGCAGCACAGTTTTGTATGACACCCTCTTTAAATGAAATTTCAATGATTAAGCGCAAACATTAAAATTACTAACTTTGAACTTTGTCATTATCTGCAAAATGTTCCACACAAATCTTTCCGCTATCGCGTTTGTAATTTTCTCTGATAAAAAAAAAACGTCTATGATGTCCAGAATTTCTCTTTACAGCTTGCCTGTTATTCCAGCTTTCCAAGTAAGCAAAACTTCTTAGATATAGAGATTATTTTGTTTCGTTACAGGCGCAAAAAGGCAGGTACTACACGTAAAAAAGACGCCGAGTAGCAAAAGCGAGCGGAAAACGGACGCGAAAGGCGACGAGAAATATGTGCATTGGAGCGTATCATGAAATATAATGTTTCGCCTGTAGTCTTATGGAGTGACGTCAGAGTTGCCTATCATGTTGTTTAATGTCATTGGTCAGTATGAAAGACCGCCGAAGGTCATTGAAATTACCAGCAGGATTACCCATATGCTACGCTGTTGGTACCAATTAGAGATCAAGTAAATACAGAGAAGGCAGAAATTAGGACCCCAAGGTATTTCTGTTTCATAATTTAATAGTTTTTATAGTATTAACTTTATCGTATACCAAAGTAAAGATAGATAGATAGATAGAACGTCACGTTTCGTATCCTCGTTATTTTTGGTCAGAAAACATGTTGAGCACAACCTATCGCGTAGTATGTGATGAATATCAGTTGAAATTTCTTCAGAAACTCAAGGGGCATCAAGTTTACTAGGTGTTATTAACAGCATATGAAAGCGGCTTGTTGTTTTTTTTATCAACATTTCATTTTCTTTGAATTCTGATATAGGATTCAAAATGATATAAGACCCGGAATCAGATTTGGGGTCAAGTGTTTTCCTTAACCCGAAGCGGGAAGTTGGAGTCCCAACGTTGAAACTTCTCGTAATAAATACATTTTCCGTATGCATAGGCTATCAAACGGAAATGTTTGGAAGGATTTGGATGGATGTTTTTTAAAGTGAAATAGTTTGTTTTTCTTCAATTATAACTTATTTTCAACAGCCAATGCTCATAAGAAGCCCATACTCGCGCCCGT